ACCATCTGAAATGTAGCTATTGTGACAGAGTAACTAAATTTTAAAGTACTATATAATTGTAAGTAAATTCAAACTCTTTCGGATGTGTACCCAGAAATGGAATGGCTGCATCGTGTGGTGACTCTATTTTTAATTTTTTGAGGAATTGCCATACTGTTTTCCATAGTGGTGGTACCATTTTACATTCCTACCCATCAACAGTGGAAAAGGATTCCAATTTCTCAACATCCTTGCCAACACTTGTTTTCTGGTTTCTTGATAGCAGCCATCCTGCTGGATGTAAGGTGATCTCAGTTTTGATATACATTTCTCTAATAATTAGTGATGCTGGGCATCTTTTCATGTCCTTATTGGCCATTTATATATCTTCTTTGGAGAAATGTCTATTCAAGTCGTTTGCCCATTTTTGAATCAGGTTTCTCACTGTTGTTGAGTTTTAAGAGTTCTCTCTGTATCAAGGATACCAATCCTTTATCATATATACAATTCACAAATATTTTCTCCTGTTCTATTGGTTGCCCGTTTATTATCAAAAGGATGATGTTAGCAATAGGATAATCTTTTAATGCACACATTTTAAAAAATTTATTAAAGTCCAGTTTGTCTTTTTCTTCTGTTGCCTTTAGTGTCATATCCAAAAAATTACTGCCAAATCCAGTGAGTCTCTAGGATATCTATACATCCGTGTTCATAGCAGAATTACAATATCTCAAACATGGAAGCAACACTGTCCATTGACAAATGAATGGATAAGCAAAATGTGGTGTATACACACAGTGGAATATTATCAAGCCTTAAAAAGGAAATCCTGCAGTATGCTACTACATAAATGAACCTTGAGGACATTATGCTAAGTGCAATAAGACAGTCATTAAAAGGCAAATACGGCATGATTCCACTTATATGAGGTAGTTAAAATCACAGACAGAGTAGAATGGTGGTTTTCTCAGGGGCTGGGGGAATGGAGATTGACTGTTTAGTGGATAGTTTCAGTTCTTCAAGGTGAAAAAAGTTCTAGAGATGGATAGTGATGATGGTTGCGTAACAATATAAATGTACTTCATACAACTGAACTGTATACTTAAAATGATTTCTATGGTAAATTTTATGTTATGCATATTTTGCCACAATTTTTAAAAATGCCACATATGGCTGGTGGCTACAGTAACTGGATAGCACCATTCTAGAACATAAGTGAAAGCAGAAATCCGTATTAAAAAGAGATTAATATACATAATGGCCTATCCAGGAATGTCAGTGGGTAGAAATAGAATTGCTGAATTCTGATTATTTGCCAGGGGACAGAGAAGGATGCTAGTTTACCTCCTATGCAACCAGAACCAGAAGAGACCAGTAAAAGCAGTACCTACCCCCTGCTGCTTCTATATTCGTAACAGAGGTGCATAATAGAAGGCAAATGTTTCAATATACCACATAATAACTAGCTTAGTGTGAAACAGAAAGCAAGTTGTTTGTTCCTCAAATATTATTGAAAATGCCAGAATATGCTTTAAATTGATCCCAAACTTTAAATGGAAATAACATAGCTAATCAAAATATTACTTCTTTTCAGCCTTAGGCTTATTCTGTCACTAAGCATATGACTTTACGCATTCACATCAATCTGGGCCTCAGTTATTTCATCTATAAAACAATAAACTGTGAAGGTGAGGGTCCCTACAGGTCCTTTCCTGCTTTATCAATCATTGAGAGTATTACTTTGGCATCTAAGATTCCCATTTTTCTTGCCTAAATACAGTCATGTACTGCATAATGATGTTCTAGTCAATGACAGACTGCATTATACAATGGTCATCCCATAAGATTACAGTACTGTATTTTTACTGTAACTTTTCTGTTGTGTTTGGATACACAAATACCACTGTGTTCCAATCGCCTACAGTATTCAGTAGTCACCTGCTGTACAGGTTTGCAGCCCAGGGGGAATAGTCTATACCACAGCCTAAGTGTAGCATCTGGTATACATCTAGGTTTGTGTAAGTATCATCTATGATGTTTGCATATACCAATACATTTCTCAGAACATATCCTCGTCATTAAGAGTCACATGACTGTATAAACAATTTCTCAAAATGCCAAGGAAAAGTGGCCTTGAAGTCTGTGCTGAATTTTCACTGGTTACTCTACCATGACTTGACAGTGGTTTTGATTTCTACCTCTGTACATGCTCTGTTCATAAAGACCTCTACAGCATCATTCGTCATTCTCATGTCACTATGGATTTTATCATTATAACATTTATGACAGCATTACAAGTTTCTAAGCTACTTGCAGTATGAGCCACAACTATCAGAACTACTTGAAAGATCTGGCTACCAGCATTAATAATTAAAAATCATTACCAAAGACCGCTTTTCTGAAAACCTCGAAAGAGAAGAAATAAAGGGAGGGTCGATGAGAAAAAACATGTATTCTAAATACGTATTGTAGTAATTTGTTAAACAGTTACCTTGTTCTACAAGTGCTCTGTTTATGAGAGCACTATAAAAGTGCTTTCTTTCTTTCGTTTCCCCCCCTCCCCCTGTGGGAGAAGGGAAGCAATGAAGGAAATGAAAGAGTTCATTTAAGTGCTATATTCACATAAGGCTATTTGTAAAAGCTCAATCCAGCTGAATATACTTGCAGCCACCACTGGACCACAAAACTTCAGCTGAGCAGACTAATTGAGATTCTTCAGGAGAACTCCCTTGTCTTTGGTAGTTACAGATGTCTCATTAGGCATGCTGTATCTCCCCGTTCTCTAGAATACTAAGTCTGACTCTGCCAGGCCTGAGGACACAGCCTGTGAATTTCCAACAGATTCTAATACACCATCGTTGTGAGACAGTTCATTTTGTTTTGCACCCATTTGATTTTTGTTTTTGTTTGTTTCAAACTAAAGTTGCAATTAATAGTACTATGTTAGCTGCACTGGAATACTGTTTAAAAAAATAACAAAACCTACGCTCCGCCTCCAAGACTGTCACCTGCAGGCTAAAGGCCCTATTAAACACTTTCTGGAGTCTTACACCAGAGAAGTGCTTTCTATAAAAGAAGATCATTAGAGCTGATGGCTGGAGTTCAGGGGGAATAAAATCTTATTTTCTATCCATTTTCAATTCTCTATAGAGATGCAATATTTGAACATTTGACTTTTCTTAGACCAGTGAGAGTGTGGCGCCCAGTTGACTATTTTTATTTTCTTCTTTACTAAAAAGACGTGTTTTGGACTCCTCTGTGTATTTCTTTAAAAATGCCTAAAGATCTTTGAGGTATTCGAGTCATGGGAAACTACATGTTTTTTAATTAGAAGCCTCTCCCATGAGCTGGAAAAAATCTCTTGGCACAATTATGGAATAACTATTTTCCCTTCACTGCTATCTTTTTTTTTTTTTTTGAGACAGAGTCTCACAGTTGCCCAGGCTGGAGTGTAGTGGTGCGATCTCGGCTCACTGCAACCTCTGCCTCCTGGATTCAAGTGATTCTCCTGCCTCAGTCTCCCCATAGCTGGGATTACAGGCACCTGCCACCATGCCCAGCTAATTTTTTTGAATTTTTAGTAGAGACAGGGTTTCACCATGTTGGCCAGGCTGGTCTCGAACCCCTGACCTCAAATGGTTCGCCTGCCTCAGCCTCCCAAAGTGCTGGGATTACAGGCGTGAGCCACTGCGCCCGGCCCACTGCTATCTTAATGTTCAATATTGTGGGCTTGCAAAGAGGCATGGAATGAAACAAACAGTAAAAAGGTCTCCATGTATCTGCCATTATTGGTGAGTTTTCACTTGTATGTAAGCAATGGTGTGCATGCACACACACGTAGCACACACACACGTTTGTGTGTATATGTTATAAACACACATACAACCCATCTACCACTAAGTCCAAAGTTTCACCAAATTATTTCATTTGTGCTTTTCACATAAGGAAAAAACAATTTATAGATTTGTCTCTATCTAAAATACAAACATCATTCTTTGGAGATATTTAATAATTAACTTACTTTCTCCAGAGTAAAGGGTAAAATTTCTTATTTCTATACAATTTAAATAAGTGTTTTTCTTCTAACTGGAATGTGACAGTGTATTTAAATATATTTTCTTTTCTAAATCTCCAACTACCTTTTTCAATGACATTCTAAAGGAAGACTTACAAATAAAATTGATAATTTATTTCAGCTTTTAATATATTTTCTACTATAAAACCAAGCTGTCAAGACAGGAAAATATTACTAGCTTTGTTATTACAAAAACAAGTGAGAATTTTTAATTCACAAAGGATGAAAACACAAGACATTAATCTCACTGTACATACAATATTACAATAAACTGATTAGCTGTAGAATAAAACAATTAAGACTTCACACATACACGCACACACACACACATACACACACATGTACCTTGAAACAAGAAACACAGGACAATTTTAATCTTTGATATATGTTCATGGACACCAAGAGCAAGAACATCACTGATTTGAGTCTAATTGTTTTCCTGGTATACAATCATTATATAAGCAAGATCTAAAGCATATTGTGTTATTAAGGACATCTTTAGGCAAATATAAACATCCTGATTTAGGGCTTTTTCTCCCCACCCAGAACAATCTGCTTTAGCTATCAAGTAGTTTGGTTTGTTATCAATTTAACACGCTCACAACAACAAATACAGAATTTCTACCACAAAATTCAGGTGAGAGGTTTTCAGACAGATCATAGAAAAAAAATACTTGTTCCCAAGGAAGGCAATCTGTAAATTATCAATGCAACCCTAAGGAAAAAAAAAAAATCCTGGTCACAAATCACTCACTTTCAAATATTGATGGAGAAATAAAAAGTGTATGTTGGGGGTGGAGAAATGTTGGCATGGAAGAGAGGAGAAAAAGTATGAATGAGGAAAGTGTTATTTGCCACAGGAAATACTGGATTCAGTTGATTTTTAAAAATGAGGTATAAGAGTATGCCAGTAAATGCAAAAACAAAAAAATTAAAAAACAAAATGCACATTTCCAATGGAAAAATCTCTAAACCTCTTATAGTTTTATTAGACATTTCATGTACAGAAGTTAATCTAGAAAAATACATTTTAAAAATCTTCAACAGACCATGCTCCCTGTAACAAAACCTTCCAAACCCTGTGTTTTATTATACAAAGCAATCTACATTAGTAGGTAAAAAGAAATTCTCCAATTTAGCAATGTCATTTTCCATCCGACATCATCTAATTTACAGATGGGTTTCCACTATTCATACTGGAATTAGAATTCTGTAATAAATTTTTTCTAATGTTTTCTGTACATATTAAATAACCTAAAAGGTTCCTCTTGTAGTGCATGTGCCATTTAGCAAGTCTATTCAGTATTTTTCCAGTACCATTCTCATGACAGTGATTTGCCTGTAAATGTAATTAATATCTAAAAGTGCACACAGTTAACTTTCCCAAATAACGGCCTATTTCTGGAGGAAACCTAATATTCACAGAAAAGATTACCAATAACATGATTAGAAATGTAGGGTTAGAATGTACTCTGAGACTATACAACACAATTATATACACAAGCTAAAGGACATTAAGTCTTTAGCCTATATTTACATAAAATAATGTGTGTTTCCACAGGGTCATACCAAGAACTCAGTATGGTACTAGATATAATTAGGATTGTTAGCTACAATTCAGTATAGCAAGACAGCCCTAAAATGCCCTGAACTGACTTAAGCTAACTAAAACTCCAGTATATCACAGTGTTTTAAGTAATATTAGTGTGCTGCCCAAACAAGCAACTAAGATATCCAGTAAGGATGCTGTGTAACACAGTAAAAGACAGCAAGCCTTCATCAAGAGGTTATTTTGGGGTTATGATGAATTTGGGCACTTAAGACTGCCACTGCATGCAGAAACCCCGAAAAAGAAATACACAGGTTTCAAAATGGATATACTTCATTTTGTTTAAAATGCCCAAGAGCCTTTTCAACATAACTGATAGTAAGTATTTTGTTCTATCAAGTCATGAATCTTGAGAAGAAAGTCTACATTATCCAATTTCAGGGAAAAAATACAGTTTTCTTACCAAATTATCCAGTGTATATGACTGGTTAGAATTTTAAGTTTTGATTTTTACTGAAATTCAGAGTATGAAACGCAAACATTCAGGATAAAATGAATTCATAATTACACGCAGTTATATCAACTTGCAACAAAGCAGCAAATGTGAGGGCCTAACACACATCTTGACTCTCTCCTTCCCTTCTGATCCCTCAAAAAAAAAGTGCAAAATTAGAGTCACTGCTTGGTCCAAAAAATAAAATACATTGTGTATAAACATTTGAAATCTGATGGAATCCAGCTTCTATTCCACAGGTTGTCTTCAGTAAGAATCAGCGTCCGAAGATGGAACTCAGTTCCAGAAGAATTAATTCTACAATCTGATTTTGGTATACAGTATGAACTGCTATATTACCAGTCTCTTTTTCTGGTTTTAATAGAGTGGGACCAAAAACAATTGCTATACTCTGATAGGTCATTCGATTTTTCTCTCCATTTTCTACAACTCTGAAGGGAAAGAAAGAAGTTGTTAAAAGAGAAAATAAAAGAGAGGGAAAATTCTTCAAATGGTATTATAAACCTAACAGTCTGCATTTTAAAAAGAGAATTAATGCTCATTTTCCTAACGTGACGCATAAACTATTTAACCAAGCAGAATTATGCCTAAATGCCATATGAAGCTTTATTTTTGATAAACACAGCTGAAAGGTACAATTAAGCATACTCTAACAAGCTTTAACTGTGTGATATTTTAGCTTAGTTTTTAAAATAGAACATTTAAGTATGAGTTACAATTCAGGTAACAATGACTGTTCCATTAAATTGATGGGAAAAAAATCTCATTAGGGTGTGGAGATTAAACTTTCTATTTTACTCATTTTATGTTATTTCTTTAAAAAAAAACCTCTCTAGCTGGGATTTTTTGTTTTAGTATTCTAGTGTCCTTTCTATAAGATGAAAGAACTCGGTTATTAAAGTGGTTATGTAGTAACTTAGAACCATGATGGCTTTATTATAAGGTAACTTAATACACCTCAATTAATACCCAATCTCATCTTCATATTAACTTTAGCAACAATTTCTGAACACCTATGTGCTAAGCATTACATAAATACTTCACATATAATATCTACTTTATTATAGCAAATCATTTACCCATGACAGACTGATACTACAAGGAGCTCAGCGAGTTACTTTTTCAAGTTACAAAGACAGCAAGTAGCATAGCTGGGATCCAAACCTAGGTTTGAATGACACTGGCCCCACAGGCCTTCCTGCTTCCCCTTGTGCTATACCACATCCCATGACTGGGCAGTCCTCCTACCTTTTGAGATGTCGGAAAAGAATCTGCATTGTATCCTGATTTGGCTTTGGCAACTGTCTGATTAGGTCCTTAACAGCAGCGACTCGCTGTCTTGGTTCTTGCTCTGAAAAAAGATAATAACGAGATATTTTACAGCAAATTCTTATGAAACTGAAAGCAATGTCACAGTTTGGAAGCTGATATTTGGTAATACACAGTGACACCTGGTGGTCACATTTAAAATGTTTGGAGTAAAACAATCGAAAATACTTGCTTAAAGTAAGATGAAAAAATAGGGTGGCTTAATCTGTGCAAAGAATTTTCAATATCTAGAAAAAACTGAGTAGAATTGCATACTTACTAATTGCATTAACAAAATCATTAAAATGATTAAATGTAAAAAGAGGTTCTGGTAATTCTCGAAAAAACATTTTGAGTGCTCCAGTAATGACATGAATATCTTCCCATTTACTGTCATTCAAGTCCAACTTCTCATCTGAAAAACAGCAGGAATTGGACATTTTAAAAAATTACTTTAAGCCAGTTCAAAAAGTTATGAGTGATGCATTTGAATAACAACAGGAAATATAATCTTACCGTGATTGACTGCAAACCTTAGCTTCTGGATCACTGCGAGGTTGCCACTTACTCTGTATATCCCATCAACATCCAAACCTAAGAGACAATAATAATTTGTGTGTGTTTAAAGTACGTGTTTGCCTCTTCTGAACATGTTTGCATGTGTCAGAATTCTCACTCATTAGCATTAGCCTAAAATCAAATGGGCAAATATTCTTCTTCTCTAAATGGCTTCTGGTAGATGCTTGGCAGGGGAGAGAGATGGAGATTCGCTCTGAATTCTGTTTAATAAACAGCAGTAATTCTACTCTGCTCATCATATAGACTGTGAATCAGCTCAAGGAAGTGGTTTCATTAATCTTAAAACACTAACAATTTCAAATACATTTCTGAAAACATCTGGGGATAATTCAAAATTAAAGGAAGCCAGCAGGTAAAATCGGCCCATGCATATTTTACACACCATTTAATAATGTAAACGCACACATTGTAAAAACTTTATTGAAAGCATCTGTCATATTAAATGTTTCTAATAAGTAAACTTAATATAACCACTAAACTAATGGTTCTATAAAAACAATACAAAATTTGCTATAATTTATTATTTTCTTTTACACATGAAACAGAATCATCTGAAATTCATACAGTTAAGCCCCGAAATTTCAGGTATTCATTAAATGATAATAATGTACAAATTCGAATGTACACTATTCATTTAGCTTCAAATTAAGACAATAGTGTGGCATCCCTATTGCCATGCTGACAAGAAGAGTCAATGGGACAAGAGACTGGCAGAAATTACAAATTGAATTACATGTTTTAATTGTACAAAATTTTTTCATGATAGAGAGATAAGTTAATGTGATTACAATCAATATACTACTATTTATATAATACTAGTATAAATATTATAGCTATGTTTAAATTAGCCACAATAGAAATTAGTTTGTCATATTTTACAGAAAATGACATAAAAATTTTTATCTCATGAGACATTTGTGGTTGACCTAACAGTTTAAAATGTCATCTGATTTTTAGAACAGAAGAAACTTGGTAAGTAAACATAATCTCCTCAGACCTTACACACTGTCAGATTATTTCTTAAAAATAAACTCAATTTCACAATCACTACCTTCTTCATTTTAAGCAAATGCTTAAATGAAATGGCTTCAAAGAAAAGCATATACTTAATTAACTGCGAGTACCAAGCATTCAATAGATGCCTGGAGAGGTCCTATTTGAAACAGGTATAAACATGTGTTTTTGCAAACAAAATTATTTTCTTAACCGCTTAGGACTACAGGGAACTTTTGGTTGCATCACTCAAAATCATAAAAATTCTGGGAATTTTGATGGCAAAACAAGAAGCTGGTTTGCTTAATGTAAAAAAAAAAAAAAAAAATCAAAATCCTTCTCTTACCATATTCTTCAACATGTTCAATACATAACTTCACAAACTTTGGTACTGTGCCATTCTCTCTTTGACACAGATTAGCAAGATTGGATCCAAATACCTGATCTGAAAAAGATTTATTTTTAAAAAGTCAATCACCTTGCTAAAATTCAGTTCATGAAATGGCTAACCATTCAGAGTGCAACAGAAACATCCAGTGTAACCAAATATTGTTTAACATGGCCCTATACCTTATGCAATATGCATCTTGCCTACTTCTCCATTTTCACTTCAAACAATTCATTTCCAAACTCATGAACACCCTCACTCACTCTTGCCTGAGAACCTTTGTACTTTCTACTGCTTTTTCAGAAAGCAATTTTCCACCCAATTTGGCTCCTTCTTATCACTCCTGGTCTCAACTAAAATGTCACCTACTTTTAATAACCCCTCTGACCATCCTTGCCTAAGAGAACCCAATTCCAGACACATCCTATTTTATTACTGTGTTAGATTCATAGTATTTGTTACTATTTCACAATTATCTTGTCTACCTCCCACTTGAGTATAAGTTTCATGAGGGCAAGGACCATGTAGTTCCTGAACACCAACAGGTATTCATAGCACCTAGGCTTGTGCCTAGCACTTAGTAAATACTCGACTATTTTTAAAACTATTAAAATAAGCATATGCCCACCCATCACGTATCATCAACATTCGATTTCACAAAATATATTTCAAAGACTCTTCTATTAATCTTTCAACCCAACAGTTTTGAAATTCCATACTAGTGGTAAACGTTCAGGAAAACAAACAGTGTGAAGTGATAAGGACATAAAGTGACAACAGTTTATATTTCTCAGGGAAAAGGCCTGGTGAACAAATGAGCAACAGTTTCTATTCATTTATTTGCCAGGCTTTTTTTTTTTTTAAGTTTTTAAAGACTCTAAACTCATCATACAAATTTATATGCTTTATTGGAGAGTACCTGTTATCCATAACTCTTAAAGTTGCTAATTTTAATTACTTAATTAGCTAGTCTCTTCCTAGAAGTCTTAAATACTTTTTTTTTTTTTTTTTTTTTAAGACAGAGCCTCTAATTCCTGTGCTTAAGTGATGCTCCCACTCAGCCTCCCAAGTAGCTAGGAATAAGGGTGTGTGACACCATACCCAACTAATTTTTTGTAGAGAGAGGGTCTCTCTATGTTACCCAATCTGGTCTCAAGTTCCTGTACTCAAGCAGTCCTTCTGCCTCCCAAAATGGGGGGTTTATAGATGTGAGCCACTGCACCTGGCCTTAAATACCTTCTTAATAAAATTTGCTTATGTGTTTTAATGCAGATGCTTCACAAATAGATGGCCTTTGTTAGAAGCTTCATAACAATCTGACAGATATATACATTATAGACTATATTATCTTTATTTTATTTATGAATAAATGCCATTGTTTTAAGTCATGTATTAGAAAATTTCATCTTTGGAATTAAACATGCTTGTAAGAACTGAAAGCATACACAAGTAATGTGATTTTTAAAGAATATTTTCCTATAAAAAAAGATTGTTAGTCCATTATAGTGCTTATAAATGAAATAACAAGTAAATAAATTAGTTAGAAAAAAGCACCTTATGCTAATTTTTCAATTACCTTAAATGACAGCTAAAGGTAAAAATTATTCGTTCATTTTTCTTTCTTTCTACTATTAGTGATATTCAAAATTTCTTATTTCTTGTGATCTTTGCATCTCAAAACTAAACTTCTCATTGTCACAATTTCTAAAAATCTGACACCCATCACATCCATGTAGTTCCTCTGAAATAGGCTTTCCTAAAAGTTTAGTTTGTTATTTGTCTGTCCACTGCTTTAGTTAAAATAAACTTTTTAAAAAATCTATTTTAATTACTTAATGTCTTTTAATAACTGTACTTAAATACTTGAATAAAGAATATTCTTACTGTTTGAAAATGGTAATTTGAAACATCTTATTTATGTAGGCCAACATTTATTATTATCAACAATACTTCTACCAACCTTTAATATAACCTTTTTCACGAACAGCTTGCAAAGTGGGGCGTCGTGTAAGAAACTTCTTTAAGTTTTTCTTGGTTTTTTTCTGTTCTGAAGAATCTATGCTAGATACTTTAAAGGCTTAAGACAAAAGGACAGGTAATAAGCATTTGTAAAAGTTTTGTTGATACAAGTTTTTCCAGCCAGCATGCAAAACATATTAACCTCATATGTCAAGATCATAGTACAATTCACTTATTTTAACTTCAATGAGGTTTAAGGACAAGATGTGAAGAATCACATTAACACAGAACCCATTTCAAAGTTATAAACTAAACCAAACATTTCATTTTTATCACTAAAAACAGATGAAAACCATACCTTCTATGGTATATCTGCCAAGACATCCTTAATTTACTCCAACACATTCATTATTTCATAAATTATTAACTACTTATCTTTATTGATTATCCATTAGTTTTGGAAGATAAAATGACCACCAAAAAGTAAAAATACATAAAATACACAACAAACAAAAGAATCCCTATCTTCACTGAACAAGAAAACTGGAGATACACACAGATATATATCGAGATATAAATATAGACATATAATTATCATAACTATTATACTTGTACTTTAAGCTAACTTTCATCATAATTATTTGTACTTTGAGCTACAAATGGGACTACACGAAAAATGTCCTCCATTGCCTTGAGTCTTGATTTATTTTTCTGTTATAGTAACAAAAATTCAAAAGGTATATTTCTTGAAAGTAAGTCTATTTGGGGAAAGTTGAGGGCATGAAGAATCTATAATATAGAATAAAAAATAATCACATTTTTATGTTAAATTGCTACCTGTTGACAATGTCAGTAATAGGCCTCAAGTTCATTAGAAATACAGAAAAGTAGAACTGATTTTCTAATCATTCAGTTAATATGAAGGCCAAAAAGTTCTTAAACGTGGATTTGTTAAAATGGACTGAACAAAGTACCAAGTCACACAGCTAATGGTCTATTTAAGCAATGTAATTCACAAGGGGCCAACATTAGAAAATGCTTTTCTTAAAGCTGCTGTCTTTCACTATGCACCTTTCTGTAGTAAGATCTGGAGATAGGAACGCATGCATCTGTTTACATGCACAGACACACCCTAGTCCAGAGATGGATGCCTGGTGTCCAGTAGGAAATTACGGTACATATTCCATGACTTTTGACTTCTTAAGGTGTAAGATTCTATGTAGAATCTTAAACAGTAAGTATATATTTTTAAATCAGTAAAGTTCAGCTTGCTAGAGGCCTCAACAGAAATGCACTATACTTCTTCTCTGAAAGCAGCACAACACCTTAAAATTAATGAGATGCCACAGGATGCATACTATTAGGCTGAAAAACGACAATAATGAGTTAAGAAGAAAGACGGCTGATACAATGAGACTGCACTTGGTTAACTGCATAACCTTTTTGTAACATTGGACATTCCATTCAGCTTTTATATATGTATTTAAAACTTTCAAAATGCTAAGAGAACAAGCTCAAATCCTTAGCAAAATAGGAAAAGGACAACTTACAACGAAGCTTTTTGGGATCCTTTTGTTCCTTTTCTTTATCATGCTTTTCTATTCCTGGTGAATCTGGGAGTATCTCCTCTTCAATTCCTTCATCAGTGTCTACTGCCTATTGGTTAGATATTTCCCAAACATATATTACACTTCTAGTATTACTATAGTTGGAATGGCACAATTCTTACAATGACTATTGTAAATGACTCTTCCAAACAATTTTAGGAAACCAATTAACATACAGTATGTATGACTTAGATATTTGATAAATACTTTTTCTCTCCCTACATGGCATCAATTTTGATTTTTTTAAAAAAGAAATTATTGCTGAAAATTCACAGGATAATGTTAGTTTACACTGATGATGACGCTACCTTGCCTAATTTTAATCAACTTTTAGTGACACTAACAGTTAAAAGGTAAGGCTATAATTTATGGTGAAAAACACAATAGAGCTACATTCTCTGACAACAGTACAAGACTTCTACACACGGACCTGACAAGAGTATTGCCCTGTAACAACAGGACAAGACTCATCCTCCAGACTCATGGTTGTCAACTGAAAGAAATCATAGAGCGGCCAGGCGTGGTGGCTCACACCTGTAATCCCAGCACTTTGGGAGGCCGAGGCAGGCAAATGACCTGAGGTTAGGAGTTTGAGACCAGCCTGGCCAACATCATGAAACCCCGCCTCTACTAAAAATACAAAAAGTAGCCAGGCGTGGTAGCACACGCCTGGAATCCCAGCTACTCGGGAGGCTGAGGCAGGAGAATTGTGTGAATCTGGGAGGCAGAGACTGCAGTGAGTCAAGATTGCGCCATTGCAGTCTAGCCTGGACGAGAGAGTAAGGCTCTGTCTCAAAAAAAAAACAGAAAAAAAGAAATTCTAGAGCTCATCTATAACTTAACTAAGGTCACTTGTACAGACTAAAGAATGACTGAGTTCTCAAAACTAAAAACCTTTGCTCTGCCGTCACATGGAGATCTTTACTCCACCAGGAATTCATTTTTGTGGATGGTGTAAGGAAGGGTTCCAGTTTTTTCTTGGATTCCCAGCTGCACCAGCACCATTTGCTTCCTCTACAGTGCTCTATCTGGCAAAACGTGTCCACAGGTACGTGGGTCTGTTTCTAGGTTCTTCATGGTTTCAGAGGTACGTATGCCTATCCCTGCATGGATACCACACTTTATTAAGGAATATGGCTTTTCAAAGACGACGTATGATAGTGCAAGTCCTTTTTCTTTCTTCTTCAATAGTATCTTAGGTATTCTTAGCTTTTTGCATTTCTATATAAATTTTAGAATAAGCTTTTCAAGTTCTACCAGAAAAACTACTGGGATTTTAAATGAGATTCAAAAATCTCAAGTCTATAAATCATTTGGAAGAATGTTATATCTTTGTATTATTGAATCTTTAAATGCATGAACAGGATATACTTCTCATTTACTTAGGTTTTCTTCAGTGTCTCTCAATAAAGATTTGTAATTTTCCCTGCAAAGTTCTTGCACCTCTTGCTACATTTAGTCCTTGGTATCTTCTGACACTTTGGAAACAGTATGTATTTTAAAATTTCTTAATCAAAAATACAGGCCAGCTGCAGTGGCTCCACACCTGTAATCCTAGCACTTTGGGAGGCAAAGGCGGGCAGATCACTTGAGGTCAGGAATTCAAGAGCAGCCTGGACAACATGGTGAAACCTCATCTCTACTAAAAATACAAAAACTCAGGCAGGTGTGGTGGTGGGTGCCTGTTATCCCAGCTACTTGGGAGACTGAGACAGGAGAATCACTTGAACCCGGGAGACGGAGGGTGCTGTGAGCTGAGATCATGCCATTGCACTCCAGCCTGGGTGACAGAGCAAGACTCTGTCTTAAAACAACAACAAAAGAAACGTGTGTACGTGTGTGTGTGTGTGTGTATGTGTGTACGTATATATAAAATCATCTCTCTTCACTTGGCTTATTCCCTGAGCCTGTAGGTCTCAATTACAAAAATCTACTTTCTCTGCAAGGCCTTCCCTAACTAATACACTAGGTTTGCCCCAATCAGTATTTTTACAGAATGCTGTACACCTCCTACCATCATAACACTCATCACATTTCATTTTATTAACTGTTATCTGTCTTGAATAATCATCTGTCTGTGGCTATAACCTCAGCCTAGGAAAGTGCAGTATCTGACTGTGTGCTGCTATGGCCCCAGTGCAGACGGCATTCACATATTTGTTAAATGAATGCACACATACTTGCTTTCAAGAGACAGTGAACAGACTACTGTGACTAGAGTTGAAAGTCCATATTGGGTAAAATCGAAGGTACATTTTGAAAAGATAGATTGGGCCTACACTGTTGAATTTTAATGAATCACAGAAAGTTTCTGAGCCGCAGGGGATTAGAAAATTGACATTAGGAAGTTTCATATGGCAACGGCATTAAGGATGAATCAGTGACAGGTGAGATTAAATAGGGAAAAAAACTGTTCAGGACGTTACTCTTATTTTGGTATTAAGATATAAAGGCCTGCCCTCATGGTTTCAGGAATAAACAGAAAAGAAAGGACAAGATTCAGAAATATCAGGCAATATTATAAACTCCAAAGGAAGAATTTATATATAGCTTCATAACTAATTTGCTAGAAGAGGTAAAGTTCTCTTTTACTTCCCATAAATAGTATCTTTCATTTCTCTGTTATTAATATAATATGATCCTCAATGAAGAGTCATGTCCCCATATGGCAGAAGGCGAAAAGGAGAATACAGAGTATAAAAAAGTGCAAGCCAGGCACGGTGGCGCACACTTGTAGTCTCAGCTACTTGGGAGGCTGAATGGGAGGATGGCTGGAGCCAAGGAGTTCAAGGCTGCAGTGAGCTATGATTGTGCCACTGCTCCAGCCTGGGTGATAATGAGATCCTGTTTCAAATAAAAAAAGTACAGCCTCCAGCTCCTTACTAATGTTCTTACTAATATACCTGCAGAATGTAAGCCTGGGATTCTTTCTGGTTGTTGTATACAAAGAAGAAGAAATATACCAGGAACACAAGGGTATGAATAGCTTGGAGGGGAGGGGCAGAAAAACTAGAGAACGGTCACTAGAAAAGAAAAAGTGCTAATGAAAAGCCTACAGCTTCTTTCATTTCACAAGCTCGCCTCAGACTTCTTCCACCAAATAGTATTATTTCCAACTCACTCAGTTATTGAATAAATACTATGTACTAAGCACTATTTACCCCTTCTTTTTGAACTATTTTTTTTTCAGCCAATGCCTGATGGGAACATTATTTCAAATCCACTGGTAGCAAACATCACATAAGTGAGAATGTTAAATCATTCACCAGGCCTGGGGGGCTGCTAAATTGACCATTGTTTTTTCCACCTCTGTCAAAACATATATAAAGTGTCTTTTCACATATAGATTGCAATCCGGATATACAATAAGCAATTTAAAAAAAAAAAAAAAAGCTCTGAAGTAAAAATTTTACCTAAGTCAAAGACATACCTGATTATTGATTGTACTACTAAGAACTTTAAACCAATCATTAATAACAGTGTCATTGTCGGACTGAATTAGCAGTTCTGTCCCTTGTCGAGTTTTCAGCTTTAGAGAAAAGCAGGGAGAAAAAGAGTATGGTTGGTTTGTGCTTTCAGCAAAATACATGCATACCTTTAATTCAAAGTTAACAAAACCACCAAGAGTAGCTGCCATATATTATGTAACAATGATGTAAGGTTAAAGTACTACACAGCTATGGAATACCTTTTTGGTTTGAAATAATATCAGTTGAATAAAAAAACAAAGTTGTTTCTCACAATAAATTCTCATAAAATCTAATAATTTAGGATCCCAAACACCATCACACAAATGCCATAAAACCTGCTGAAACTTGTACGTTTATCACTTAAAAATCCGTTCAAGTATCAAAGTGGTGCATTCTAAATTAGAATAAAGAAATAAAATCTCTGATATTTTTACACAACCTGAGAAATTTTTTTCTCTCTGGCTAAAAAATACAGAAGAAAGAATACATAAAGACTTTCAATATTTCCTACTTAGTAGGTAAATATAATGGCTTAGTACAAAGAGCAGGCATAAATGTCACACCCCTTTTGGGCAGAAGTATTACTAAATTAAGTGTCAGATCATGAGCTGAAGAAAGAATACTATGTATTATTCTATACGAAGGCAATAACTAATTTATGTATAATCTCTGTTTTGCAAGGTTTCTTACACTTAAGTGAGGAAGAATTTTGACACATTTGTGGAAAGCACTCCTCCCATTTTCTGATTAAAAACTGATTTTTTTTTTCCTAGAGGAAGATATGGCAATGTTTCCCAAACAACATTCTGAAAGATGTATTCCTCAAACAGTTTCACAAATAACGTTTTTAAAAGGTGCCCTCAAAAAATAAATTTTTGAAAAAGTTATATAATATTAACCTGGAAAATACTGGATTGAAGAAAATCTAACTAGATTCTCTCCTTCAAGATGTCACAGGCTTTTGATGTTCTAGGGAATATAGGAATAAAATATACACTGCTTCCCAAATTTACTTGACCATGAAACCATTTTTATTCTTGATTACCTTTTGAAACTACAAGGCTAATTCAGGAAATAGTGACTTCTTTCATGCAATCTTCTGGAGTTGGTCAAGCCAGTTTACCAATATTGAATGTTTACTGCACATAAGATACTCTGCTCTGTTACAGGTTATTTAAAGGAAAAACATAGTCTCTCTACTTCAGGGAAAAAGAAAAAAAAATTGTAATTATCTAATGAGAGAAATAATTGACAAATGATAACACAGGTACACTAAAATAAATATTATTTTTAAATATTTATTTAAAAATAAATATTTATTGTTGTAAATAAAGTAGCAGCCTCATTATTACGGTGATGGTTGTCATGAGTCTTGGAAGAAAGGGAGCATTTGGCATGGAGAGATTGGCACGGGTTGGTGCTCGAGGCAGAACAATAAAGAGTAAAAATCAGACCGGAAAACCTGGGCTCCACTTGGAAAATAGCAATTAAACCAATCTGTCTACACAACAAAACAGGAAAGGCCTGAGACATGAGACTACAAAAAGAGGCTGGGATCTTGAAGGCTGTCCACAAAAGCAGTTGTCGTCTCTGGTTGGATCTCTGTAATCACACCCTTCTGGAATGGAACAGACATTGTTGCTCTTCTGTCAATAGGCTGCCTCTCTTCCCACAACTCTGAATACTTGGATAGTCTCCTGAACAGTCTTAACCAATGAATACTCTAAAAGTAATGTGTGACTTCCAAATCTAGGTCTTGAGAAGCCTTGCAGGTTCCACCCTCACACCCTCTTGGAATCCTGAAGCTGTCACTTGATGCAGCCTAGGGTAGCTCCTTTGAGAATGAGAGATCTTGTGGACAAGGCGGCCTAGCCAACGGCGGGCACCACTACTAGCCATGAGGTCACCTTATACCATCCAGTTCCAATCAAGCCACTAGATGACTGAAGCCTCATGAATAGTCCTCAGTGAGATAAGAAGAAAAATCACCCAGCTCAGCCCAGGTCAGGCTGAGCAAACAAAATGTTCTTTTCTTAAACTACTAAGTTTTGAGGTGGTCTCTTATGCAGCAATAAGTAACTAATACAGATCATATATTGCTGGGGAGGGTTTGAAAGATAAAATGGAAAGGTTTAAAAAAAAAAAAAACTTTACTTTTAGATCAGTTTTTGGTTCTAGAAAAATTGAGAAGACATAGAGATATCCCATACACACCCTGCCCACCCCCACATGCATTCCCCCATTATCAACATTCCCCTTAATTTACTTTTTAATATTAGATTTGGTAAGTAAAGAGAACCACATCCTTTTTATTATTGCTGGGAAAAGACAGGATTTGTGAAACAAAGGCTTGTAATATACGGTCTGAGTTCAAACAACTTATGCAAATAAAGCCAGTTTTTACACCAGTTTTCTTAAATTACAATACCATCTAACTTAATCACCAACTTTGCCTTAACTAGTCACAATGAAAGACTATTTCTCAAAATAGCTCAAAAAACAGAACATCCAATTACTACAGTTTAGAACGTGTTATACTTAGAAAAAAATGTATTACCTCAAATACATTCTTTTTGCTGGATTTATCCTTGGAAGCCATCTCAATTGTTGCCCCCTTCAGGTCCACCGTGAACTCTGGTTTGGACTGATTACTGCCGAACTTCATTTTTGAAAAAGAAAAAAACCTTCATGTGATACTCACATATATGCGTATTCAAAAAGAATTAAGGACAATTTTATATTGTTAACAATAAATCAAACAGATTTTCTCAAATTCTTTTTTCTCTATTATAAAGTAACAATTTCTACTTTAGAAATTGAAAAATATCTAGAATATATGAATACACAATTCATAGAAAACAAAATAAAATGACTCAACTTCCATCATAATATAAAATAAATATATATATACATATGAAAAGCCAAACTGAAATATTTTTTTACCCATCAGAATGGGAAAATTTTTTTTTTCAAAACTATGTTGGTGAGGCTATAGACTAAAAAGGCCTCATATGCAAGTGGGATATAAATTGGAACTACTCCTAGAAAAGAAAAATTGGTAATGCTATATTTGCAAATTTACAAATGCATGTATACTTTGGCTTGGCAGTTCTGCATCTTGGAATTTATCCTAGACTATACACGACTATGTAAAATGCTATGTACACAAAGGCAATACTCTTACATATGTAATAAACAGTATCAGGTAGATAACAAGTGCATTTTCCAACTAATAAACATTCTCTAAACCTGATTTTGTGCTTTCAGAAGTATTTCCTTATTCAGTAGTTATGCTGTTAACAACAAGTTGTGGAAACAGAAAACACTAAGTCCCATATTCTTTTATCTTTGTCAGAAACTGTAACTAAAGACAGATGCTATAAAGCTTCAGCAATTTAATGAGGAACTACAAAAAGAACGGGAAGACAGTTGTTATGGGTGGGTTCAGAAGTACTTAGCTAGCTATTACATTTTCTTAACTAGGTAAGGAAAAGATTAGCAAAAGTAGTATAAAATTTATGTTAAATATACATTTACTCTGTACCTTGACATCTTTAAATTTCTGTTTAGTCTGTTAACTAAGAATAAAAAGTAACATTCCCATGGTATTGAAAAGTTTAAAGGCTTTAAAACCTCTAAAGTCTACTGAATTGTAATCTAAAGATCATAAAAATCTGTTATAAATATTTCCTACAGAGAATTTCATTTGCTAAAATATTTCAAATCAAATTAACTTGTCATTAGAAATTATCTTACCCAACTTTATGATAACTTATTCACTATTTGTAATCTCAGTAACTCTATTCAGGAGCTTCACATTTAAAATAGAGTTTGCCTCAACCTGCTCCCTTTTACATCTTTTTAGCTAGCAGTGTGAACTTAAACAAAATTTAGGATTAATAATAAAATTTATTAGTGGAGTCAATGAAAATTTTGAGATATTACATGGAATTTATTTGTGGAATCATAATAAAAATCACAATAGAAATTGTAACTGTATCCTACAAAGTCTTTGCCTGAAGTAGCATTGTCAATCAAAAGACAAATTAAACATAAAGCTGTATGTTGGGCACAGATAACTTCCTGAACAGAAATGATGTACTGCAAATGTTATCAAATTTGAACATATATTTAACAAAATGACAAAAATCAATTATTTAATTTGTTGTCATTATACACACTGTAGATGGTTAGCTCTAAGCTAAGATACAAACAAGAAACCAAATAAGATATAGCAATTGAATATAAATACAATGACATGACATGGAATATTGCAAAAAAAAAAAAAATGCAATCACTATAGTTGGCAACATTTTGTTAGTTATTATTTTCCAAAATCTAGTCCCACTTTTCTCTACTGTAATCAACCTCCCCACCAACGTATTCATGGCAAAGAAAACATAATTATTGTGGCAAAGGGCATGCAACAGGAACACATACAGTGACAGCTGAAACAGGATCAGACTTTACATATGCAACAGCAGGCCGACGACGGACAGAGTTTTTCCAAGAAGAAAGCAGCGAAAGCAAGAGCTCAGAGACTGAGCTTTGTTGGCAGAAGGACTTGATGGAAAAGGGAAGAAAATGATGATGTCATAACAATGCATAACAGCAAAATGACACACAAGAGAAAAGCATAATGGAACCAGACAAGACAAAGATACAACTCTATATGAAGACATACAACACAAGCAAAGCTCAACTTCCAAATATCTTTGCAAAGGTCCTAGAATTTATCCTGATGATTATTATATAAATTTATGTTTTATTTTTAAGATGAATGCTTTATAGAATTTATCTTAAACAGACTTGTGTTAGCCATTGACAGGAGTCACGTTAGGCCCTTCACGATCTAAATTAGACCCTGTCCAAAACCCCCTAGCTTCCTCCTCATGCCCTGCTGAGTAGTATCTTCTGGTGTCCCTTTCCAAGTCATCTCTTGGGAGTAGCCCTACCATCTCACCTGCCTTTCCCTTCCTCTAGGACACTGATACTTCCTCTAGGAGACAGGGAATTTTGTCCTCTGGGGGACATCTGGTGACGTTTGGAGATATTTTTAGTTGTCACAACTAGAGGCAGGGTGCTAGTCATCTACTAAACACCCTACCGTGCACAGGACAGCCCCCCTACAACAAATAATTATCTGGCCCAAAGAGTGACTATTTTTAGAAATCTGAAAGCATGTACAAATGAATGTTTGAATAACTACCAATATTTATGGGTTGATTTTTTAAATGCTCAAGGAATATTGTGAATGATAACTGAAAAGAAGCACAACATATGTCATGTTACACTGAACGTGTTCACTTGTCAGTCTTCCCCACTACTACGTAAACTTTGAAGACAGGGACCATGTTATTTCTTTCTAAACCCAAAGCTTAACAATGCCCAGAACACAGCAGGCTTTTAGGTCTGTTGAACAAACAAACAAACTATACACACATATATTTCCGAGGTGAAATGAGGTGAGAAAAAAGCAAATGTAAGTTTATGTTACTGATACAGCAATCCAGTAGGTAACTGTTTTCCATTCCAGAAAACCACTGGAAGGTATCTGCCCTAGAGAAGAAAAGGCTCACTAGATTTTTGGATGAGGCAGCACCAATGTAAAATATTTCTTATAAAGCGAAATTGCATGCAGCCTCTGTGCATTTCATTTACTCAATTTAAACCATCTACTGTCTGAAAAAAAAAATCAATACAAACCAAGAATAATTTTTAAAAAAAAGAACTTTGAATAGCATGGGTGACTCTGCTCAGTGTTCCATCAATGAGTACATGCCCTCTAGTGAGTACAAGATTTGAACCTGCTGTTTCCTCAAGTGGATCTCAAGTTTTTGTACTAAGTGTGAATCTAATTTTTAAAGAACTATACAGATTTCTCCTGTAATGTGGCCCCTTAACATAAGCCATTCAAACTCGACTGAAGGAAAAGTTATTCCTCCTAACACCAAAGGAAATACGGGCTCCGCTAGAGATCAGCTTCTGTATAGCATCTTCCTAAAGGAATATTCAAGAGCAGTTTTCACTTGAAGTGACTGTTGGTTTTTTGGCTTATATTTTAGCCTTAGAATCTTATCCTCGGATAAGATGTGATTCTGCTGTATAAAGAGAATACATTTTACTTATAACAGATCTAGTCGGTGACCGAGCAGATCAACAAGGCTAGAATTCTTTAACATTTCTTTCAATAATCCCAATTCCAGAGTTAAAGAGCATCCTGTTTCTCTAAATTTTGTTATTTATGAATATTGTGGGGTCATAATACATTATACACACTTACATGATTTTTAAATAATCTTACTTCCTTTTACTTAGGCCATTCAAATTAGTTCTCGTTCCCTTAAATATGTAGCGATGGGTGAAGCAAAACAGTCTGAGGTTTTAAAATTAGTCATAAAATACAAATTAAGAATTGACTGTACAACGAAGCATTTTACCACATTTTTAATCTTGTTTAGTCTTTACTGAGACTATAAAATGGTGTGGTTATGTTTTTTTAAATTATACCTATCTGAAATGATTATATTATTAATACTATATCAATAGTAATAAGATGTCATTTGAAAGATAAAAATTAAAATAGCGACTCCCTATAATTAAAAATTCATTGAGAATTCTAAAATTTCAAAATTAGTTCGGTAAATTTTAAACTATGTTTTGGTTATTGCTACATGGTAACACAGTAATACAACCTTGGCTGATAAACACAAATACCTCACCTCCTTTGTCAGTACTAGTTTTAATCATGAGTTCTGAATCATGTAAGATCTTCTAGAGTGAAAATTTTCAATTAAAAAAAAAAAAAAGTTACCATCCTGTGCTAACGATTATGTACTAGAAGGTATTCATTTAACATCTTTAAATTCAAAGTTTTCATTTCATTTAAATCACGTACAAACCTGCCCACCTATAGGATGCTCTGTCTACTGGTTTCATCTGTACCTGCCACAACCTTCAATCTTTAAGTATCAGTAATTATCAAATAAGTGATCACTATCCAGCTGTCTTCAGATACTTTCAAAAAAGCCTTATTAATCTATTATTGCTTCTCCATTCCTTTTCTTTCATCCGTTTTCTTCACTCAATTTCAAATAAAAGTTGAGCCATAAGTAGGAAGAAAGAAACAATTACACAGTGCTCTAGAAATGCATTAATGCGAAAGAGCCCCACGTTTCACCTTGGGGAAAAGGAGAAAGACATAATTATCCATTTACTTTAAGATATATCAAACCAGAATTTTAACCCTTTCACAGGTCATTTCCACTGGAATGGCCGAAGAGGGAGCAAATTAAAGGATTAGAAAAGCAAAACAGAAGGAACTATCTAGAATGTTCACATCCATGCTCAATTCATGTGGATTTTTAGGTTTCCTCATCAGAGAAGCTGAGGACTAACATGTTCTATGGCATTTGGGGTTCAGAACCATGTTGCATGGCTGCGTGATAAATGTGGACAACTAAAATTTGCTTAAATTTTATAAACGGACTTTTCTTTCATCAAACATAAGACCCATAGGTTTTGTATTAATTTTAAAGAAACTCATTAATTGTAATAAAATATTGGTTACAGTAGAATATGAGGTAGACAAAATACATTCAGAATACCTTTATTTTAAATTTTACTTGAGCACTGCACTTCAAATTCAATTACCAAAAACTTTCATAAATAGCCAGAACATGGATTCTAGAGCCAAAAAGCCAAAGTTCTAAACCCAGATCTGCCACTTGGTAGCTGTAAGACCTTGAGCAAATTATTATACTTAACTGTTTTATACCTCATTTTCTCATCTATGATGGGGGAAGGGCGAGATCAGAGCAATAGCTATCCCAGCGTTAAGGAGACAATATAGACACAATCCTCTGCACCGAGAACATATGTGGGATACATAATGAGCATTCAAAAAATGTAGCTATTATGTGTCACAAATTATAATTTTTAATGTTTGTATTACAAATAACTGAAGAGTAGAGTAATGATAGTAAGCACTCAAATATGTAAAAAGCTTCAAAATCCCAAAAGTAATGGTGACATTTCTTTTTCTTTTGAAAGCTGGCTGACAAACCAGACACTGACACCTGAAACACTGATTCATAACCAGTGGTCAGATCACAATTCAAGATACAGCTTGCCACATTACTGCTTATTTTCTGACTAAATATCTGAAGGAGCAGAGTCACAAACACAGCAAAGCTTTAATATCCTGAAAATGAATCAAGAAATGTATTTGCTCTATAATGCCCAAGTAATGAGCCCACTTTTCAGTTGAATGGATAAAACAGAATCTATTGATTTTAATAATACCACTAATTAGACTGTCCTACTCACTCCTTTTTTTCTCTCATAAGTTAAAATGAACCTTTAAGAACATTTTAGTTATTTTTATTTGCACACTAGCTGTAACTAAAAGGACTCTGGAAATTACCTTTTGAAATTCAGGTACAATACTATTCACATAATTTAAATGTATAAAATCTCCAAAGAGAAGAAATACTTACCCAACTTGTGCTACTTCCTTGAGTTTTGGTAAAAAGTAAAGAAGAACCCTGCAACACCGCCCAAGAAGACAACCAGTTCTTTCTGTAATTATAAGGATGACCGATTAAAGCTCCAATCTCGAGTTCTTTCAGCCAAATTCAAAAAATTAACACCTACTTAGCTCTTATCAATGTTATCTACGATTTACAGCCCTTGTTGACATTTTAGTTGTTTTTGTTGGGGATAGATACTAATGAAATTTATAGTCATTTTATGGTTCAAACCTGATAATGAAGGCCCCAAAACAAATGAAGTTAATCAGAGAAGTAAGTTATCACAAATAACTATGAATGAATGATGCAGGTAATTATGTTCACGTGAAATTAATACAGCACTTTGTGATCAAAGACACTAATTTATTTTAAAGTCACACAAATGGAATATCGTATTTGTCAAGAATTCTTACTCAGAAGTAAAAATCAGACAAACACACTTCCCCTCACTCACCTAATTCTTTACACAGACTGTTTTACATTTCTTGGTGATCTGCCTTCCCCTAATTGGGTTGGAGTACCCAGGTAGTAGGTACTAGGTACATTACAAGCATACTGATAATTGTACACTGATAGACCACATGACATTAAAAAAAAAGTTTCCTATATTACAAAAGCAACACATATATGGTGCGCAAAAACTCTGAATACAAAATGTGTAAAGGAAAGGGAATCCCATTTCTTCTCCTTCAATCCATACTCCAGAGGTAACCAATGTTAAGACTTTGGTGTAACACGGGGCTTTTAAAGAAACTGTCCACTTACCTACTATGCTATCTCCAGATACAGAGGTACGCCTCACATAGCATATGCTATTATCAGTTGACCCATTTAGAACTTTAAAGCTTTTGAATACTATACCCCAGCCAGATTCCCCTCAACTTCTCCCTTATCATATTAGAGATCTTTATGTAAATGTTTCTGTCATAGGAATTGTAAATTATTTGAAAAAAGAAAACAGTTTTTATTTTTTTATCTACCTCAGGCCTAGCACGGTACTTTTCAAATGGAAGGTATGAATCAGTGTTTACAAGTAGGAAAATAAATTAAAATTACCCTATATGATGAGGACACAGTTGCTAGGAAGCTAAAATGAATGTCAAATCTGTCTACCGCATGGATTTATTAAAGCTTTCCTTATAGCCAAACATATGGCCAACTTTATAAAAACCTCTAAAGGAGGTTTATTTTCTGTTTTCAGAATCTAGAATTTAGTATCTATCAATGAGACCTATTTTTTAAAAAATTACTTTTTATGTCTACTTGAACTTTATGGATTAAGAGAAGTGAAATAAAGTTAATTACTACTAAGTTTCTATGTTTCCATTTATTTCCTGTGTTTTTTTGCTTATGTTTGTTAATGCTACTTTATTTGGTAAATGGTGATTCCTATAATTACATCTTCACTGTGGACTTCTCCATATGCTTTACCATTTTAAATACTACCTTCGTAATGCTTTATGCTCTCCCGCTGGGATGAACTTTGCTACTGAGATCCCTAGTCTTGCTTTACTTTCTATACCTTCAACATACTTTATTGCTTTTTTTTTTTTCAACTTTTCTCAATCATCTTTTGGTGTTTCTTTTATATATAAAATTTGGTTAAGTTTTGCTTTTTTATGCTTCAGTCTGAGCAACTTTTTCTTTCAATAGATGAGTTTATACATTTACTGATATTGGTATTATAGATGGTGCTTTTTCTGTCTTCATTATTTCATTTTCTGGATCGCAAGATATTTTGGAAGTATTTTAATTTTTTGTAAATTCATTTTATACTCTCAGTCTTCTATTTCTTTAGATATCATCTACTGACTCCCTACTATGACAAATACTTAAATTAGCCTATTTCCACTTTAAGTAAGCTTTTTTAGTTCAATTTTCAAAATGAGAAAAACTGTAGAACTAGTAAATATATATCTGAGAACAAATATTGAATATTTAAATAGTGAAATAATGACCATTATCTCAAGGACTAAGCACTTGTGTGACTTAGTTGCAAGGTGAATTAGTCACATTTTTTTTTTCCTGGAACCCAGTTTTTTCTCCTGAAAAAACAACTGATGTACATACTATAGTTATTCAGACTTGGATATGTGGCAGGCAAACATTACCTTAAAAATAAATGAAGTTTTCAAAGAAAACAAATAATATTTATAGGCAATAAAAAATTAAAACTTTTAACATGAGGCTGGGCGTGGTAGCTCATACCTGTAATCCTAGCATTTTGGGAGGCTGAGACGTGTGGATCACCTGAGGTCAGGAGTTCAAGACCAGCCTGGTCAACATGGTGAAACCCCGTCTCTACTAAAAACACAAAAATTAGCCAGGCGTAGTGGCACACGCCTGTAATCCCAGCTACTTGGGAGGCTGAGGCAGGAGAATTGTTTGAACCTGGGAGGCAGAGGTTGCAGTGAGCCAAGGTCGCACCACTGCACTCCAGCCTGGGTGACAGAGCAAGACTCTGCCTCAAAAACAACAACAACAACAACAACAACAACAACAAAGCTTTCAACATGAATGAACCTCAAGGACATTACGCCAAGCAAAATAAACTAGTCACAACAATCAAACATATACCATATCATTCCACTCATACAAAATATCTAAGGTAGTCAAAATCACAGAAACAGCAGAAAGGTTATCAAGGGCTAGGGGATGGAGAAAGAGGGAATTAGTGTTAGTAGGTATAGAGTTTCAGTGTTATGAGATGAAAAAGTTGTAGAGATCTGTTACACAACAATGTGAATATACTTACCACCACTGAGATGTACACTTAAAAATGGTTAAGATAGCAAACTTATGTATTTTTTTTACCACCATAAAAAAAAAACTGAAGCTTTCAAACAGAAAGTAGAATTTTGGAATACCTGGCATCTGCTACAGTGGATTTGACAATTTCCCAATACTTTTCTGACAGCACTGATGTGTGATTCTTTTATATTATAAAATAAAATGTGTAAACATTTGAGAAACGAGCAAAGTTAATGAACTAGTATTTTACAAATGACCTACAAGATATTATAAAATTAAGCATGGGCAAAGATTCACTCAGATGCAACAAAGACCAACAGTTTTTAAAGTAACTGAGTATGAACCGTTCACTGTAGTTTTTCAGAGTCTTCACTACAACCAACCCTCAACAAACTACCATTTGTAGAGTTTCGGAGCAGTAGGAAAATGTACAATTATCTGAACATATCTTAAAACATTCCTCCATTTTCCACCTTTAGCTGTGAAAGGGAGGATTTTTTTCACATACTTCAAACAAAATAATATGTCACAACAGACTGACTGCAAGCAGAGATGAAAATTCAGCTGTTTTCCATTAAGCCAAATACTAAAGATTTACAAAAAATGTAAAACAATGCCTCTCTTCTCATGGAAATTTTGTCTTAGAAAACATAGTTTTTCTTCAAAAAATTTTTGTGTCAATTTGTAATGGGTTATTTTTTAAAGAATTATCCTTAAAATTTGTTTTAATTTCTCACAGTATCTGTAGATATAACCTATAAGGTTATAGATATAGACCAAGGCTCTTTAGAATATTCAGTAATTTTTAAGCATTTAAAGGAAACTTCAGACCAAAAAGTTTAAGAACCACTAATACATAGGAAATTAAAGAAGATTTTGCTTAACTCTATGTAAATAAATTTGAAGATGATAGAATAGATGATTTCCTTAGGCAAATATAAATTGAAAAAAATATTCCAAAAGTAGCGAAAGTCTAAATCATAGGAAAACAACAAAAGCAAAGAAAGTAGTCAAAGAGCTATCTGCACCACATATTCCCAAAATGGAGAAAGAAAAATAAAGACTGAATTCACAACTGAATTCTACCAAAGAACAGTTTAAGGGATACATAATTGTAGTATTTATAAAGCTATTTCAGAGCACTTAAAAAAAAATCTAACTACCAAAGTCTGACAAAAAATAGTTCCACGAAAGCAAACCTAAAAAACTCAATTACATGTTAATTTAAAACTCTTTAAATGCAACTTACATTACATAGAGTTTATTTCCTTAAATCACTAGGATTTCCTTAAATCACATTAACCAAAAAATCCAACGATCCAATAGAAAAACAGACAAAGGGTATAAAGAGACAATTCAACAAAAAGGAAATACCAACAGTTTATGATACCGTAACACACTAAAAAGGAATGCAAATAAAAACATCACTTTCCCTCTTCTCTCTCCTGGCAAAAATCAAAGAATTTAACAACATACTAAACTGGCGAAAGGTGTGCAGGAATGCACGGCTACTGGAGGCAGAAACAGATTCAGTATCTGTTTCTGGCAGAAACAGATTCAGTATCTGTTTCTGGCAGAAACAGATTCAGTATCAGTGCAATTTGGAACACTGTCAAAATGACTTTGCAAGTGGCCCAGCAATTCCACTTTTCATAAAATTTATTTTATGGGCAGATTTGCATACTTGCAAAATAAGTCATGCAAGATGCTAAATGTAATATTACATGTACTAGCAAAAATGATACACAACTGACATGTCTACCAACAGACAGGTGTAGTTAAAAACTTGCAAATAAACAATAGCTAAATAAACTATATAGTACAGCCAAACAATATACAACTATGCAACAATTTAAAAACAATGTGGCAGCTCTACAAGCAAGAAGTGAAACCACCTCCAAGATAAACTGTGAAAAGATGTTTAGAAAATTAATCTCTATACATACAAACATATACATATATATCCTATCTCTGCAGGAAAGCACTAGAATTCAGGAGACTTAACACTGGTTGCCTCTGAGGAGGGGAAGAAAAGATGGCTGGGGGACTGACTTTTCACTCAATACTTAGTCTACCTTTGTTTTTTACCATATGCATTTACTGCTTACTGAAAAAAAAAAATTAAAGCAAATGCATCCTCAGAATCCTCTGCCTCATTACCTCTTAACTTAATATTACTTAGGAAATATGTCAAGACAAAGAAAATTTTTCATAAATCTCATGACAATCTTACATATGTGACTACATAGAAAACAAATGGTGATTCTTCAGAACCCATTGTTTATACTAAAATAATTATATTGAGAATTTTTAATTTATTTCAATCAGATGAATCATGTAAGAACATTAATGACTTGTGTACTTACCGAACCTTTTTCCCATTTTCAGCAATTTTTGTTACATTTAATAATCCATATTTCTCTTGATCCTATGGAATAGAGTAATACTGTTTATACATCACTTACGTAGACAATGAGGTCCAAGTTCTTACGGTCTCGTTCTCTAAAAATTAGCTTAAAAGAAAAGATTAGTCAATGTGTAACATGCATAGTTCTAGAATATATTAAGAATATTACTTTCCTAATACTTTTGTAGTTTTTTCTTAATTTTATAATTAAACACTTCCTTTTCTCCCTAAGTCACAGCAGCTATTACTTTGCTATGAAATTAGATTTCTATATGAACAAAGCAGCACTGAAAAATAATTTATGTCTTTCTATTCAAAGTAATACAATGCTACAAAAAAGGAAAGATTTACTTTGATAAATTCTACAAAAAAGGAATGATTTACTTTGCTGCTATTTTACAACTACATAATCTGAAAATTATTCAATATACTAACTCACTTTGTCAAAATGTAAAACTAGGTAGACCAAATACAGTGTCTGTATTTAATAAATTACTCAAAAGTTAACTGGTACGATGTAGAGAACTTGCCTTAATGTAGCATAAAAAATTCAGCATGTGCTTTATTAAGCATATTATCAGATTGTGACTTCTGCTCTAGATAAACTAGATTTACTAGCCAGCTGATGTCAAAAACAGTGACACAAGCTTTATCATCAAACCCTATAAAGGCAAAAGCCATTGTACTAAAGTTAATGTTAGCTTAAAATTCTTTCAGATGGAAATCAAGACGCACTTTCTCACTGCTTTAGTTTCCTAGAAGCAAATGAAATTAAAATGAGCTGAGTCCATGCGTTGTCTGTACATAAGAAAATAGTCAATTTTAATTCAACTAAAGCACTCAAGCACACGCACTCTCACAAGGAAGAAATATTCCCAATTCTATTTAACTGATTACTCCGCTATATTTTCTCAATGTACTTTAATCAGAAAATATACATTTTTCTGCATGAGAGATAAACATATTATTTTTCTACCAATGTCTGAAAGTTTTGTCTGGTCTGATAAAAACTGACATCTGTAGACAAAGCTGACAAACTGTTATGTCAATTTACACTTTTGGTATACTGGGGACTTGGGAAATGGCCCATATGAAGTTTTATTGCAATTTTTTCATAAAATACAGCTTAAATCTCCTTAGATATGCAAGTCTGACATTCTTCATAAGAACTATGTTGCTCCTCAACAAAAACATTAATAACACAATTATAAGTAGGTGTAGTTTTTTTTTCTTTTTCTCATAAACCCTCATGTTGAGGGCTGACTTTCAACAGATCACAGCAAGGGAGCTACAAAAGATGTTAAATAAGAACATTTTTAATTTGCCGCCTGCACCCCTTAAAAGCAGGGAGAAAACAAATCTTTCAATCATATGGGAACTAAGTAACAACATTAATCTGAGTGGATGGGCACTGATTACTTGAGCTAGGGAACACAGGAATTGGAAAGGCAGAGAGGTGGGAATTAAGCCCATTTTAAAAATGCCACAGCTGAATTTGTGTTATTTAAAAAAAAAAAAAAAAAAAGCAGAGGCAGGAAGGAAACACAGGCATCAAATCAGGAATAAAAATGAATGGAATAGCAGTAGTGACAGACAGCCTAAGCCTAAGGATGAGAAGGAAGAGTCTAGGATCAGGGATTCTCACCCAAATCAATGGATGGACCGAAACTGGCACAAAACCACGCATGTATATATGCATCACTCAAAGAAAAGGTCCAGAACTTTCATTAAATGGTCACAGGGATCAAGACCCAAGTACTAATGCTCTAAGTATTAATCACTAACTTGAATGTAAAGAACAAAATTTGCTACACTCAAAACATACAAATACAAAGAACAATTCCCATACAATGTGAGACGTGCTATGAGAAAGTTATGCCTAACTCAATCTGGGAGAGAAAGAAATCAGACAGCCTCCTGGGGAACTTGACACTTGAACTAAGGAACAGGAGTCCGCTAGACAGAAACAGCAGGAGGTAAAAACAACCAACAGTGAAAGGCACAGGGGCTAAAGACAGCATTTCATATCTGAAGGGCTTTAAATTCCTTCAAAAGTTTTGGGTGAGGTGAAGTAGCAAGAAATGAGGTAGCAGAAAAATGCACTAAGAAAGGGTACCATGACCAGGGACCAACTAGAAAACTATTTTAATCATTACTATAAGAGATGATAAAGACCTGAATGTGGTGGCAGTGAGAGAGAAGAGGGGCCCAATTTGACAGATTCAGGAGACAAAACTGACAGGGACTTTTGTGAGGGCGAGAGCATAGATCTTGGGGAAACTGCCAAGCTTGAGCAACTGGGTAGCTGGTGATATCTCCGCTTCAACGTTACTTCAGGGCTTTTCCTGACCACTTTTAAGTAAACTTCCCATTATTTACGACTGCCCGTTTGTTTGCCTCACTGTACTTACTACAGACTAAATGTTTGTGTCCCCCAAAATTTGTATATTAAAATCTAATATCAAATGTAATGATACGTGGAGGTGGGGCCTTTGGGAGATGATCAGGTCATGAAGGCGAAGCCCACGCTAATGCAATTAGTGCCCTTATAAAAGGGAACCCTTGTTATTTCTGCCATGTGAGTACACAGTAAAAAGGAAGCATCTATGAACCAGGAAGGTGCCCTCACCAGACAGTGAATTTAACAGTGCCTTGATCTTGGACCACCCCTCAGCCACCAGAACTGTGAGAAATAAATTTCTGTTGTTTATAAGCCACTCAGTTTACATTTTTGCTATAGCAGCTCCAATGGACTAAGACACACTTGATGCAAAGTACAATTATGTATTTTTTTTTACTTTTATTACTCATTATCCACTCCTTTAGGCCATAAGTTGGAACCACATCTGTTATGTTCATCAATAACCACTGTCTAGTACTGTATCTAGCATGTAGTTGGTATTCAATACATATATGATGAAGTAATTTACCAACAAATTAACAGTACTATAACAAGAAAGAAATATAACAGGGTCAGTAACAGAGAAAGCTTTAACTTTTAAATAAGTTTTTGAATTTGACATAAAAATAAATAGGCAGATGGGTAATATAGGTTTGGATACACAGGTAAGAGTTAGGAAAAACATTTAAGGCAGGGCATGGTGGCTCATGCCTGTAATCTCAGCACTTTGGGAGGCCAACGCAGGCGATCACGAGGTCAGGAGTTCAAGACCAGCCTAAGATGGTGAAACCCCGTCTCTACTAAAAATACAAAAAGTAGCTGGGCATGGTGGAGGGCGCCTGTAATCCCAGCTACTTGGGAGGCTGAGACACAGAACTGCTTTAACGTGGGAGGCAGACGTTGCAGTCAGCCAAGATCGCGCCACTGCACTCCAGCCTGGGCGACAGAGCAAGACTCCATCTCAAAAAAAAAAAAAAAAAAACTTAAACAGATTTTTATTTCATACTATTTAGTATACTTTCTCTACATAATATGTGTCAAAATCACCCAATGTTTTTGTGTTGCTTACCAAAAAAGCTTCATAAAAAATACCTTAAGTCCCATAAAATATATACAAACTTATACATGAATATTTGTTGGTCTAAATATTTGATACTCTAAAAGAAACTTTATGTTAAAAATAAGCAGGAATGCTTTAATAAGGACTAGCAAATTATGGTTAAATTGAGTAACAATATTATTCTATCCTAATAGGCAAGAAGACAATAAACTTCAAATTCTACTAGGTAATCTCGGAAAAATTATACAGGTTCATAATTACTTTGCAGGCTCCAGAATTTCTAATCGATGTTGCATTCTTTTAGTAAAGTAGGTACTTCTCAATTTAGGCTAACAAGTGTGGTACACCAAAATCAATATACCTGTTCAAAATCCTCATCTTTAGTTAACTGTGTAATAATGAGATTTTTAAAATATAGAACAAGTAAACTTGCACAATTATACCTAGATCATTGAAAAAACACCAGTGTAATGAAACATCCAGAATGGGTAAATCCATACATAGAAACAAAATGCAGGCTAGTAGTTATCAAGGACAGGGGCCTGGAGAGGGTGAAATGGGGAGTGACTTTTAATGGGTATGGGTTTTATTTTGGGGTGATGAAATGTCCTATAACTAACAGAGGTGATAGCTACACACATTGTAAATATATTAAATGCCACTGAATTGTACCTTTTAAAATGGTTACTGGTTAATGTTACATAAATTTTATCTCAGTAAAAATAAATTTTTTAAAGAGCCAATGGTTATAAAAATAAACATTCATGTTTTTTAAAAAGGCTTAGAATAGTAATATTCAATGAAAAAAATAAGCAAACTTGTCCATTAATACTTCAATAATCATTAAATTTTAAAATGTCTTTTTCTCTTAATTGATTAATGCATATTAATACCATAAGTGGACATACAACATCAAAGCTCGTTTCCAAAATGCATATTCTAAAACTTTACTCAGTATTCAGTAATTGGGAAATTTAAAATGCATATTCTCATAGGTACATTGGGACAAATAAAGAATAGCTTCTTAGAGCAGCCCAAAAAACCTATTTAATCCATATTGTAGTCAAATTGTAGAAAAATATATTATTGGTTTTTAAAAAATGTATATTCTGCCTATTTCAAGTAGATTTAAAGGGACTACAAAAAGTAACAATAATCATTTAAAAATTAGAAAAGAAGAAAAAGTTAACATGTTTAAAATTTATGTTAAGGGATGAAATTTTAAATCTGGTTTGATTAAAAGAGATAGATGAGCAGTTTGCAGGGATTTTTAAAGAGACATTAGGGAACTAAAAATGATTATATATAATTTCCCCTTCTAAATCTGTAGCTTCCTTCTTTCTTATCACTAAGCCTTTATACTAATCAGATTTTAACTCGCAAAGAAAGAGAGAAATATCTCCCTGTAGTAACTGGGTAAGAGTGAGAAAGAGAGGCAAGACTGCTAGAAGCCATGCAAGCGCAGAGGAGGAACCAGAGGGCAGAGGGAGTGAAGAGACATCCCAGAGGGCAGAAACCTCGATGGGAGGGCACAACAGCATGGACAGAGCATTCAGGAAAAAAGGAATGCTGTCCGGTGATGGAAAAACGGAACCAGCTCTGGTAGAATTAACACAGCGGTTTGTTTTTTTCACCTAAAGGTAAAAAAAGATTGAAACAGAAGAAACATTGGTGAGGCAGTTCCCTGTGATGGCCATCAGAGGGTACTGTGAGTCCGGCATGGTCTAGCTGCTGTCAAACTTCAGAAAATGGATCAATGGGTGGTGAAATAATGTGCAAACAGTTCTTGTAACCGCATGTGGAACATTTAAAAAATTTTGTTTCTAGGATTACTTAGGAAATCTCTTTTAACAAAATTAAAATAATACGTAAAAGATCTTTGTGGGAACTGTATATTACCTACATTTAAAATAGTTTTAAAGGGTTTTCTCCTTTTCTAGATGGACAGATTAGAGTACTGTAGTAACAGTGCCTTAGATTCATATGGCAATTCTTGCCAAAACCACCAAAATCATGTTACCTTTTATCGTTACGTAATGTTTATGTAATGTTTATGTACCCAGTATTGTGCAAATAATGCAAAAGATAAGTATCTGTCCTCTATTTAAACTTCTTTTAGGAGTTTAACACCTGGTAGGGAGACTAGAAGTACATATAATAACTTGCACTTATTAAATGCAATTAGTGACTTGAGAGTTCAGAAATAAGAGAACATTAACAGTTAGTCTGACAAAGCCTTCTGGAAGGGTCCATCTTGATGGAGGTACAGGATTTAACTATGTACAGAAAAAGCAAGGCCCACTCTAGGCAGGGGTACTGCCTAAGTCGACATCAGAAGGAAATGTGTACAACCCCTGATTAGCACCAAAAAGACCAGATTACACTAGGGAATGGAGAAAGAGTTAGAAAAATGAAACAGTGTCTGTGAAAATCTTTACCTCTAAGAAATCTGAAGTGTCCCAATCAATAACAGTGTGTCATAATTTCATAAACTAGAGAAGCCATAATAAAAGTTTGTCTTTTAAAAAGCTTTAACATTTATTTATTCAACAAGTATTTACTGAGCAGCTATTATATGGCACTGTGGGAGTAACTGTTATATGGCACTGGGGTAACTGTTTCTGCTCTAATGAAGCTTTATTCTGTCTAGTGGGGGAAGACAGACATTAATAGAGAATTGGAGGTTCCTATAAGAAATAAATAATGACAAGTTATTTTATGTAATCGAATAATATATAATCAAATACTATGAGGAGTATTATAGGAAAACTTTACCTAACCTAGAGAATTAGAATAAAATTCTCTGAGGAAATAAAGTTCAAACTAAGCCCTGATGAATGAATAGAAGCTAACCAGGCAAAGATGTGGGGGAGAATGTTTCAGGATGCAGAGGAAACGACACACGCAAGGACCCTGAGCTGAAAGGCAGGCTCCTTTGAGGAACTGAGGGAAGGGCGGAGTGACAAGACAACAAGCAAGAAGGGAAAAGGAAATATGAGATGAGGTGGTGGAGGCACTCAGGAGCCAGAGCATGCACAGCCTTGTCATGCTCATTAAGAATTTTAGGGCTTCATTCTACAAGAAAACAGGCTGGGCGCGGTAGCTCACATCTGTAATCCCAGCACTTTGGGAGGCCAAGGCAGGCATATCACTTGAGGCCAGGAGATCGAGACCAGCCTGGGCAACATAGCAAGACCCCTTATCTCCATAAAAATTTTAAAAAAAAACTACCCAAGCGGGCCAGGCACAGTGGCTCATGCCTACAATCCCAGCACTTTGGGAGGCTGAGGTGGGTGGATCACTTGAGGGCAGGAGTTCAAGACCAGCCTGGCCAACATAGTGAAACCCTGTCTCTACTAAAACTACAAAAAATTAGCCAGATGTTGTGGTGCATGCCTGTAATCCCAGCTGCTTGGCAGGCTGAGATAGAGGAATCACTTGAACCCGGGAGGTGGAGGCTGCAGCGAGCTGAGATCGTGCCACTGCATTCCAGCCTGGGCAACAGAGCAAGGCTCTGTCTCAAAAAACAAACAAACAAACAAACAAAAAAATTAGCAGAGGGTGCTGGTGCATGCCTGTGGTCCCAGCTACTAGGGAGGCTGAGATGGGAGAATCACCTGAGCCTGGTGGGGGAGGGGCAGGTGGTTGAGGCTGCAGTGAGCTATGATGGCTCTACTACACTCCAGCCTGGACAACAGAGTGTGACCCTGTCTCTATTTAAAAAACAACAACGACAACAACAAAAAACCCAGAAGCCACTGAAGGGGAATAGCATGATCAGCAACAGATAGAAAAGACTGGGAGTGAATATAAATATAGAAATCAAGTAAAATTTCATCAGAGTTAAGACAGGTATCTTAAGAGAAGTCACACAGAGGTTTTCCAGTTTAGGAGAACTTACAGTTGAGCTATATTATTTCCAATATTCATCTGGCACAGACTTGGCAATATATTTTACAGCACAGAAAATGAAGGTGTCTATGCCCATTAAGAAGGAGAGGATAGGTTCTTACCTTTGGACTGCTGGCCTGAGGAAAAAAAGAGTAAAGTATAATTTGATAGTATTATCTGGGAATTTTTATATTTATTTTTGAAAACAAATATAAGTTCATCACTTAAAAATATGGTATATAATTTAATCATGTAAGATACCATATTTTAAACAAAAGGGAGACTTTTAAATCAATAAAATCTGACTGTTAAACTTATTTTGATTGTGATTTTTTAGAAAAACCAATGACATTTAATAGAAGCCCATTTAAACATTACATTAAGAGTCAATTAACTTGCTAAAATTGATTGAAATAACTGAACTACATTGTAAGATATGCTTCTATCATACTAACTGTATCTTGGTGCTTTGGTGAGGAGGGAGAAGACTCATTTTCAGGAAAGCAGGGTTTTGAGGCAGTTGGAGATTCCTACAAGAAATAAGTAATGAAAAAAGTTACTCTATTTTATATAATTATCTTTCTGCCTCTACTCACAGCGGGAGAGCTTAGTAAGAGAGAACAACAAATTTTTTCCTCGTTATTTTCGTTCTATATTCAGCTCCAAGCTAATAAGGTAATGATTTTAAAACTACAAACGCTATTAAAAGTTTATAAAATATGGTGCTTTTTATAGCAATTACAGTTTAATTTAAATAATGCATATGGAATTACTCAAAAGAAATGATATGTGCTGTCTTAAAATCATGATGTTATATCAGTCTGAATTAACCATATTTAAAATAAGTAAAACTTAAACACTTCCAGATAAATACATTATAATTATGATACTAACTTGCTCTTGGTATGGTAAGTATAAATACCCAGGATTAGGCAAGGTCACAGAAATAACTTGGCAAATGCCAGAACGGGAATTTAATTTTAGTCAAAAGCTATATAAGAAATTAAATTGCTATTAGTATTTAAGGTAATTTATAGAAAACTTTTCAAAAATTAGAAATAAGATATTTTAAATTCAAGAAAGAAACCTAAGATTTAAATATTAATAACTCCCCAGAAAACAAGAAGTTTTAATGTCTAAGCCTACAACAGTATCATAAGAGCAAACCAATAACGTGGTTTTTTTTTTAAGCAGTCTGCTTTCTCAATATTAAAACACAGAATGTGATTTCTATTACAGATGTTGATAGGACTATTCATGGAGGGTAAGACTGAAAAACTTTTCTTGGTAGCAACAGCCCACCTCCACTTAAATTTTCTCCATTTCCTTAGATGTTCTGAATAATTTCAGAAAAAGAGAATGTTTTAAATCATACACCATTACCTATTATTAAATTTTTTCTATCAAACCAAAAAGTTCCTTTGAACATTCATCTCCATGTATGTATCATTCTAGTTTTCTACGTTTATGAAGCTGGAGAAGGTGCTGTCAACGAACCTGGGAATTTGTTTTAAGTAACACTTGCAAAAACCATTAACTCAACATTTATTCATTTGGAAAAATGTCTTCAGGTTTACATCCTACACAGTTTGTAAATATAGAAACTAATAGCAGTAAAAGTTTACATGGAAGCCCTTGAAGGGACAAGCTTATAAATCAAACAAACAAGGCACTATTAATGGAGAAAATATTAAAATCACATCAAATAAAAAACTTCAAAGAAATTTAACTTAAGGTCCAAATCTCACTTTTTTCTGACAATGTCAGATCAATTTTTGATTCTAAGACTGTCTGATAGTAAAACAGTATGAGAAAGAGGGAAGATGTGATGATCCATAAAGTAGAAAATAAGTAACTGAATAAAATGATAATTATATTTTTCATAGCACATTCAGTCCCACAGAAATAAAAACCACAAATACAGTAATAATGTATGTGCAACAATTATAACTATTATAAACAAGAAATAATTTTACATGTATACATTTATCTATATTTAGATATATGCATATAAATATACATCATATACATCTATGAAGAGTTATAGTAAAAACAGAAAAAAAAAAGCCAGAAACAGATGCATTCACACATACACATACACACATCTACCCCTCCAGGGTTATCTGTAAACTGAATTAGGACGTCATCACAACAACATCTGCTATACAGTAATAGATGGTTCTTGACTTATGATTGTTCAACTTTAAGGTGATGGGAAAGTGATAGGCATTCACTAGAAAACATACTTGAAACTTTGATCTTTTCCTGGGCTAACAATATTCAATATGACACTCTCTCATGAAGCTGCACAGAGGCATGTAGCCCCAGCTTCCAGTCAGCCACCTGATTACCAGGGTGAACAGATTACAAAGGTAAATAATTGATATTCTACAGTGTACCGTGCTACTGAATGATTTTGCCCAACTGTAGGTTAATGTAAATGTTCAGAGCACATTTAAGGTAGGCTAGGCTAAGCCACAATGTACAGTGGGTTAGGTGTATTACATGCATTTTCACCTTGTGGTATTTTCAATTCATGGTATTTTCAACTTATGTGGGTTTACTGGGATATAACCTCATCCTAAGTTGCAGAGCATCTGTATTAGGTTGCTGTGATTACAATTCGGTTATACACACTTCATCCCTTATCACATATTAGCTAGTTTGTTCTGGTAGTCAGTCCCTTTTTCAAAATCTCAAAAACTGCCCTATGTTAAGAGACTGATGCATTTGTTTGCAAAGGGTAAGGTGGGGGGTAAAAAAGACAATTCTACCAAAACTAAGTGAATCTCTAATCGCAAAAAAATCATATTCTCGCAACTCTAGGACAAGGAGATGAAAGAGGAAATGTACTAAGAACTGCATGTGAGTTATTTAAAGTAATAGATTGAAAAATAATTTTAAAAAATGAATTGAGAGATTAAAAAGGAGTAAGATTGATATTTTATGATGTTGAAAACAAAAGAAAAAGGAGTAAGAAATTTTAAATAAATTATCAAAATAATCATCCTATTTGTTCCAGTATGAAGAGGCGGTAGAGTTGGTTCAACAATGATTTGCCTTAGAACAGTATATATGGCATTTGGGAGATTCCTATTTATCCTGAATTGTAATCTGGTTCCTGGTTGAGTGAATTTTTCCTATTAGAAATCCCTAGGTGTTTTACTTACCTAGATTAATCTCAACACTAATATATTTTCAAGCATATCTTCAATAGCACAGACTCAGAATGTCATTCCTTTAATGTAGTCTCTACATTAAACACAAGATCCTTACAAAATAGAAGCTAGAAACAGGTGTGCCACTTTCATTGTTTTCTATTAGTCCATCTTACACACACGAAGAATACTGTTTCTAACACTCCACCTTTAAATTCAACAAAGATCAATTTTATAGTAACTTGTAGTACCAAAATATTATACTAGTTTTGACTGATCAATTGAGATTATTGATAAAGGAATTTAGGACTTAAAGTATCCAAACATAATGAAATATGCTATAGGGATAGTTCATTCTGTTTTCACAAACACACCTAAAAATTACAGAAAAACTGTAAATCATGCTACAAGAAGCCTGATGATTTAAAAAACCTTTACATTTCAACATTAGTATGCCTAATATTCTGCAAATTCATACTAAGTTCCCAACTTATCCCCAAAATGAAGCCACACTGTAAATAAGTAACTTGTAAAGGAGTGTTTAAAACATCCATTTTAATGTTTGCATTAAAATTCACCCTTTTTTGAAACAGAGAACATTACTTCTCAGATTGATAAAAGATGTGCTTTCTACAGAGAGCATTTAGAGAAACAAAGGGAATATAATTCCAATATTACCTGGGATGAGGAAAATTAATTAAATGTCTTCCCTATGAAACCTCCTAGAGACTGAAGACAAAGGATAACAGAAATGTGACTTTAAAATAAGATAAGCAAGAAAAATCTGTCACCTACTAGGATCAAATGTATCAAGGTACACAGATAAGTAAGCCACAGATAAGTCAGTCCATTGTGCAAAAACCAAAATCCTCAAAACCAAAACTTACTTCATGACAAACTGATGCTAAATACATAAAAATGTAGTCAATTTGATAAAAGAAAAAATAATGTAGTAATGTTTCAACATACATGCAGATCAAAAGCTTAAATTAGTTCAAAAGAAATCAAATGTTCTAGCAAAGAATATTTACTAAATACATGAAATATTAGTACAAATAGTTACAATTCACTGTACAATACAATGCAAAGAACTTGCCAAAAATCTCAACAGTCCTACCTTGTCATTAGTGTCCAATACAATGGTGCTGTGTCTCCACTTTGTTAATACTATTGGTTCTTGCAGCCGCCTATCCAGGCTCCTACTTTTAATTATTTCTCTTTGCTGCTGGGATGAAGCATTATACTAAAATAAAACAAAGCAAAAAACACTTTAGAAACAATAGAAATGAAAGTGGAATCTAAACATCCTGGCTCCAAATGACAAAGACTGTTAGGCAAAGTTCAACATATGACATCTCCATACATTTTCTAGCCTCAGTTTTCTCATCTTTAACCAGAACTGTGGCACAATTGAGAAGATCACAGACTCTGCTGTTACACAGACCAAGGTATTATCTTTGGCAAAATATTTAATCTCCGTCAGTCTAAGTTTTGTCAACTGTAAAGTAGATAAAACAGAAATATCATCTCATTCACAGAGTTGCTCTAAGGATCAAAGTATTAAAGAACAACATATTAAAAGAGTAGTACATTATCAATAAATATTAACTATCATAACTTATAAAATAAAATCAAATTAATTTTTCTACTTCTACTTCTTCTACTAAGCATTATTTTAAAAACCTAAACCAAAAATTAAATTCAAAATGAACTAGTAAGTTCTTTACATATTCTGGATTCTAAACCTTTCTAAGCTATGTGAGTTGAAGATATCTTTTCCTAGTCTGTAGTCCAGCTTCTCCCCTATGTTTATGACATCTTCTACACAGAGAAGGTGTTTTGTTTAATTTTAATGTAGTCACATCTGTCAATCTTTCCTTTTATAGTAGCCTTCTGAGTCTTGTTCAAGAAATCTTGCCTGCTCTGCAGATAAAGATATTCTTTGATATATCCTTCCACAGTGTTTAAAGTTTTACTTGCTATATTTATATCTTTAATCTAACTGAAATTAATCATTTAGCATGAAGTAAGGTCAAGATCTACATTTATTTTCATTTTTATCACGTGAAAACCAATAATCTTAGTAACATTCTTACTTAGTCCATGCTTACCCCACTGATTTGTTTTCTTTTTAGTTGTTGTTGCAGCATCTCAGATGACACAAACCAATGTTTGTTTGTTTGTTGAGAAAGGGTTCCTCTCTGTCACCCAGGCTGGAGTGCAGCGGCATGATCAGAGCACACTGTAACCTTGAACTCCTGGGCTCAAGAGATGTTCCTGTTCCAGACATTTGAGTAGCTGGGACTACAAGCGCATGCCAGCACACTTGGCTTTTTTGTTGTTGTTGTAGAGCCAAAGTCTCCCTAACCCCATTGATTTGTAATGCCACGTCTGAGCTTTATACATGAGCCCTTACTATCCCAACTTAATTACCATAGCAGGAACTCTATCTCTCCTGTCCCCTAACCACCAACTACTCCGTATTCAGGAATATGTTGACTCTTTATGGATATTTGTTTACAAATACAAATTTTAGGTTCTATTCCCAAAAAAAGTGAGGGAAGGGATATTAAACGGAAACGCATTGGACTTGTAGATTAATTTGGACATTGTTATAAAATTCAGCCTCCCAGTCCAAGATCATGATGGTATGCTACACCATTTATTTGGGTCTTCCTTTATTCTGCTCTGAAATTTTCTTTATTAAAATCTTACAGACCTTTAATAAACATGTTCTTAGTTACAACTCTTGTTGCTACTGCTGCTAATGTAAATAGTATCTTCATTGCTATCACATTTTCAAACTCACTTTTTACTAGACAAATGGGTAGTTTTCATGTTAATTTTATATCCAGCAACTTTGCTGAACTCTCATCAGTTTTAAGTTTGTAGGTTCTCTTAGGATTTTCTAATAATAATAATAATAATAATAATAATCTATTGCATCTCTTCCTTCTTAATTCCATTATTTCTTTCCGTTTCTTAACTGTTGACTAGAAGCTGTGATAGAAATGTTCTAGTCTAGTCCCTAACTCTAATGGGAAAGCTTCTGTAATCTCGCCATGAAGTATGAGATTTACTGCAGATTATTTAATAGATAATCTTTAGCATAATGTGTCATTATAAGAAAGTGATTTTCATCTGGGCTCGGTGGCTCACGCCTGTAATCCTAGCACTTTGGGAGACTGAGATGGGTGGGTCACCTGAGGTCAGGAATTTGAGACCAGCCTGGCCAATATGGTAAAAGCCTGTCTCTACTAAAAATACAAAAATTAGCCAGGTGTGGTGGTGCAAGCCTGTAGGCCTAGCTACTTAAGAGGCTGAGGCACAAGAATAGCTTGTACCTGGGAGGCGGAAGCTGCAGCGAGCCGAGATTTTGCCACTGCATCCCAGCTTGGGCGACAGAGTGACAGTCTGTCTCAAAAAAATAAAGAACAGTGATTTCCTTACAGAAGCATATTCTTGGATCATAGTGGTTTTATATCCATTTTGCAAATCTTTTAACAGGTGTGTTTAGAGCATTTACATTTAATGTGATTCTTTATAATGTTAGGATGTAAGTCTGGTATTTTATCGTTAATTTTCTGTCTGTTTCTCCTTTCCTACCTTCCTGTGGGCTACTTGAGGAATTTTTACTATTATATTTTAATATATCTACAGTTCCTTGAGCCTCTCGTTATACTTTTTTAGTGCTTGCTCTAGGGATTACAATATACATAATTTATCAGTCTACTAGTATCAACATTTTACTACTTCAAGTGGCATACAGAAACCCTACTAAAAATTACATCCCTTTACTCATTCTTTATGAAACAGTTGTCTCAAATATCACTACTGCATATCAGGACTACTTCAGAAATATTATAATTTTTGTTTTAAATATCAAAGACAATTTTAAACACCCAGGACAAAAGTCCCCTCAGATATTCACCCTTTCTGTTGTTCTTTATTCATTCCTGATATTGCAAGTTTTCTAATCACTTCCCTTCTGTTTGAAAGACTTCCTACAGCAACTCTTTGAAAGCAAGACTGCTGGGGATAAATCTTAGTTTAGTTTAATTCTGAAAATGTCCTTATATTTACTTTCATTCCTGAAGGATATATTTTTGCTGGGTGTAGAAGGGTTCACAGTTCTTTTCTCCTAGTATTTGAAAAATGTTATGCCACTTCTTTCTGGCTTCCATGGCTTCGGACAAGTCACTTCATTCAAATTATTACCCTAAAGGTAATGTGTTGTTTCACTGAAGGGCTTTCAAGACTTTGTGGGGCGAGGGTGAGGGTCTTTAGTTTTCAGAAATTTTGATTACAATGAGCCTGGATATGGATTTCTTTGGGGTTACACTATCTAGTGTTTATTCAGTTTCTTGAATCTGTTGGTTTGTCTTCTGCTGAATTGGGGGCATTTTCAAACACTACTTCTTCCAAGTATTTTGCTGCCTTACATTCTTTCCTTTCTCCTTCTGGAACTTCAATGAAAAGGAAGGTTAGCTCTTTTGTATTTTCCCACAGGTCTCTGAGGCACTGTTCATTTTGTTTTAGAAATCTATTGTCTCTCCGTTGTTCAGACTAAATAATTTCCACTAACCTATCTCCAAGATCATGAACTCTCTTCTTTTACTTCCATTCCATTATGAGCCATCCAGTATTTGATTTTTGGCTCTAGGATTTACCTTTGTTTTTTCTGTATATCTTCTATTTCTTTGCTGAGACTTCCAACCTCTTATCTCAAGTGTGTTTATAATTGCTTCCTGTAGCACTTTTATGACAGCTGACTTAAAATCCTATGGGATAATTCATTTATTCTTGTCATCCTGGTGTGTCACCAACCTACTGTCTCTTCTCATTCAAGTTCAGATTTTCCTGGTTCTTGGTATGACAAGTAATTCTATGTTATATTTGGGTGTTTTGAGTACTGTAAGACTTTGGCTTCCATTTACACATATTTTAACAGGTGGTGAACCCCATTTACGTCCAGAATGCACATCTCGGCCTGCTTTTATGGCCCATAGTTCAAAGGTCAATTTCATTTTAAAAATCTTTTCATTGCTGTTCTGATCTGCCCTGTTTGTGCACTACCTAGAGGCCAGTCTGAAACCTGGGCAGTACTCCACACCATGTTTCAGTTCTCAAAGGTTTTGCTCTGCTAATTCTGCTTGCTTTCATGTGTAGGCCACTGGGAGTAGTGTCTAGGACCTTACACACAGTTTAGAAAACCCTTTCTCTGGCTCCTTCCTCTCCACAATCCTCTTCCCACACACTGCTTGGGATAGGACGGGGTGTTGCCTTGTTGCTGTTGTCCATTTAGTGCATAGGGAGGATGAATCACAGGGTTCCTTGCATGCACTGTGGGTCTAGTCAACAGGGCTCCACCCCATGTTCCACAGTACCCAGGCAGGGAGCAGGAGAGTGCTGTTTCAATAGTGCCGGTTAGGGATGACTGACTGGGCTTCATAACACATTGTGCACAGTACATCATGCAGAAGGATATGCTTTTGTGGTGTTCACCTGGAACACAGTAGGTATAATAAACAGAGACGGTGTGCTTTACTTGGCTTAAAATGTTGATCATGTGTTACCACAGATTTTTGGGTTGGCTAAAAACTGTCTGATCTAGAGGGGCTTATCTGGACAAGTCTGTCCCTCATCCCCCTCCTGGGACTGGGAGGCTAGCCTGGGCACATTCTTCTCGTGGCAATGGTAGAGGTGCAAGAGCAAGCCCTGACTATAAGCCCATTTCGATACTCTCCTTGTGTCATATTTGTCACATCCCAGTGAAAGCAAGCCACACAGCTGAACTCAGTTAATGACAGGACAATTTGGGAGGCCACCACAAAGAACTAATACTAGAGTCATAATGGATCCAATGATGCCATCTACTGCACTGTGATGGCTTTTAAGATTGTCTCCTTATTGTGAAGTTCTGCAGATCCAGCAAAATTTGTTGACATGTTGATTTATTTGTATTTATCCTTGACAGTATTCAAAGCATATTTTCTAGTTAAAGATTCGTGTCTTCCTTCAATTTTAGAAAATTCCTAGAAATTATATTTTCAAATATTGTTTCTACACCATTCTTCCATTTTCTTCTTTTGGAATTCCTAATATATGAATATAGAAAACTTTCAACTCATCCTCCATTTTTCTTAACTATGCTTTCATATTTGTTAGATTTCCATCCCTGTCTAAAGTTCATACTACTGACTGCATTTTTTATGTGAATAACTATGTTTTTTCATCTTGAAGATTTCTAATTTATTCTTTATCACATTTACCTATTCATGTATGTTTTTATTTTTCCTAATTTCTTGTTCTTTTTAAATGAAAGCCTTCATTTAATTCTGTTTATCCACAGCATAATTTTAAGCCTTTATTAAATTATTAAGAACATTACTTTCAGCTGGGCACGGTGGCTCACGCCTGTAATCCCAGCACTCTGGGAGGCCAAGGTGGGCGGATCACAAGGTCAGGGTTCGAGATCAGCCTGACCAACATGGTGAAACTCCATCTCTATTAAAAATACAAAAATTAGCCAGGTGTAGTGGCGTGTGCCTGCAATCCCAGCTATGCAGGAGAATCACTTCAACCTGGGTGGCGGAGGTTGCAGTGAGCCAAGATCGCGCCACTGCACTCCAGCCTGGGCAACAGAGCGAGACTCCGTCTTGAAAAAAAAAAAAACATTACTTTCATCTGGAGTGAATACCATGTTCTGATTCTTGATTTTTCTTATGTCTATAATAATAGCATTGGATTTCTTCATGCATTTTATTTCAAATATTGAACGGCAGACTTCATTTTGAGTGGGGAATGTTTTGTTTTCTCTCTCTTCATTTACTCTCCTTTATTTCTTTCTCTCAATCCTCCTTCCTGTCTAACAGTTTTGTGGTTCCCTTCCCCTACACCTAACCCAGAGTGTGTGTATTTATATATACATATTCTTTTTTACTCAGCTGTCATATGAACATGTTTCTTCTTTCCAAACTTACAACAAAAATTTTTAGGGTAAAGACCGTATCCTATGTATCTGCATTCATCAAAACATATTACATAATACTGAACACCAAAACGTGTTCAGAAAATAGTAAATTAAATTTTAGTATCTGCATGGTTACAAGCTTAACAGATTTATCTTAGACTTACTAGTAAGTGCTAAGTTGCTTAGAATGCAGAATGTAACCTGGAGTTGTCTTTATCATGCAGTAACAATCTATGAAATAGTGACTCTACAACATTTTTCCTTATTTCCTCATTTCCACTGTATTTAATTCAAACTTCTTCATATCCAATTTAATCGACAGTTAAAGAAACTGTGAAGACCTTCTGAGGCTTTATGCTAAGCAGCAAATGGTAGCAGAAAATGAAACAGTATCACAAAACTGAGGATTCAACGCTGGTCACAATCAGCACACATTTCCATTGCTGTAAAATACCCTTTGAGGTCTTGATATTATTCAGACTCTTGCCTCTCTTCTTTTTTTCATTAAAGGCATCTCTGAAAGTAAACAGGTTTCCCAACACAGCCTATAGTTCTTCTGACCAAGGAAATCACATAATTGAGTTATAAAGAAACCCAACAGGAATATTTAGCTACCAGTTAAGGCTTCAAATTATTCCTGATATTAGGCTATCCTGGGACTCTCTCCCTTCAAAGGACCCTGACCTGGGACAAATCACTCAAAAGCAGCCTTGTGACTGATGTCATTACTCTAGGGAATCAGAAACCACTGTGAAGAAAGACACAGCAGACGAGTCCTCCAAAAACTGAACTGGTATTTGAGGTACTGGTAAGAGTTACAATTCAAATCTATCAAGTGGAAAAAAAAATTAATCTGTTTATTTAATTATTATATTAATAAAAGATTGGTCTTCTATAATCTAAATCGTTTTCAGTGAACTAAACCCTGAGCAGATTTTTCTTCTGGTTCCTTCAAGTGGAAATCAGAGCTCGTATTTTATAAGCATAACACTTATTAGAACAGCCTAACAGAACCAATCCCTGTTATATACAATTTTCAATACTGAATAATTACGTCCCTCAAAACAATATTTTTATCCCAACATATAAGTTATTACATATTTTCATCGTCATGATCCATAAAATTCTTCTTTCCAAATTAATAACTATATATGTTTTTTTATAAATGGTACCAATTTTGAAAAGTAATATCTGAGGTATTCTATTACTTCTTCCCAGCACATTAATAAAATAAATTGCTTATCTTATTATGTTTATCTCCTTTCCCCTAAAAGTTCGTAACAGTCTTACTAAGCTTGAGGTATCATTTTCCCACTTAAAAGTGTTTTATTGGAAGACAATGAAATATTTGGAAAATAAAATGGTGGGTTATTTAACTTTTTATAAAATTTAACTTTAAAAAACTGTTGCTAGAGTATCACAACTGCTAAGCTACGGTTCTTAAAAACATTACGGAGTTCTGACTGCCTGGCACAACTTCAAAGTTTCAAGGGTAAATAAGGTTTTATCTTCAGAATCACATTCTAAAAATACAAATTAATAATAATGAAAATGAAAAAAATCCACAAGTGTTTTATTGAATTACGTTTCATAATTTTAAAGAGTAATGAGATAAAACATTCAACCCTGAAATACATGATTTGTGGTACTTTTCCATAGACTTTTTATTTGGATCTTTTTCATTCATGGTATTTTATGATTGATCAAGTAAAACCACAATGTGGCAATATTAATATCTTCATAACTTTTTATACAGAAGCTCTTATAATTAAAATATAAAAATTATCTTCACTAATACTAATATGTTCAGCTGAAAATAGTATTTTTAAAAACAATCCTATTGTACAAACGTAAATTTTAATGACTCCTAATTTAGAAAGTGTAATTTAAACAATAAAGTGATTTAAAATATGGAATAGTTTTTCCTGCTGAGCTGAGCAAAGAGAAAGTAAGTACCTATGTAAAACGTGTGATAAAGGATCAAAAAATGCTTATCTGAAGATGTGACAAGTTTTTTAAACTACAAGAAAATTCTGAGGCTATGCTTCATCAACAAATTAATCAAAGGCAGCAGTATTTCCTTTATCTATCTCCTCATCCCCCACACCCATGAACTTTTCCATTATAGCCACCTACACATTGTTCCATGAGATTACAAAATTGTAAAAGCCGTCAACTACAAAGGAACTCTCTTCTGCTACTTGGTCAACTCAGACTCATAAAGGTATTCTTAAAAATCAATTACAGGATATGTATTTCATTTTCATCCTATCCATATCAAGCCTTAGAATTTCATAAAATAATTAAAGGCCAGAGAGCATTCACATATAGAAGAAAGCACTATTAACACTAGTTTACTAGATTAGTGTTTCCCAACTTGTCAATTTAGTAACATCTAGTGATTTTTTTCTATATCCATGTTTCATTTATACTATTAATATTCTTCTTTAAATTGATTTACTTTGGGGAAAAGACAAATTTTAAAAACTAAAGTATATGTAACAATTGACACCACATATTTGTCTACTAATTAACAGCTGTTTTCTAGAACATTAAAATAATGCACCAATTAAAATTCAAATGTTTGTTCATATATCACTTAAAATTATCTCAATCACCAATAGTGATGTGCATATGACCACTCTGAAACCTACCACCTTAGATAAACTCAGCCCTGGTACACTTGTCCAGAAATGAGATGTCCAGCTAAATCATAAGGACATCTTATCACACGTTGCCTGTATCTCAACTAATGTGTGGCTCAATCATACACACATTTACATAAGAGGATAAACCTGAATACTGAGTTACTTTTCTTTCTTTTAAAAAATGATTAAATATAAGAACAACTTTATGTAGAAAAATCAATATACTCAACACAACTAGATAAGATGACATTATTGGTATTCAAGAGAATTCCTATTTCCAAGAATAAGGAAAGGCCAATTTCAAGTTTACCTAAAAGATATTCTGAATAGGAATAATCAGTATCACACAGTGAAGATACCTGTACATCTTAGAAAACTTACACCACTCACAGTATTCTCAGTGAATTCCGAAAAAATTATTCTTTCTACTTTGTAAAAGTATAATAAAGACTTTACAATAAATCTGCTGAAACCATCTCCAGGTATTACTTCATCTACTATTTTTAAATAGAAATTCGGTGTCAAGGTTTATTACCTTTGGCAATTCCCATTCCGACCGAGATCCGTCTGCACTGTAGTAATACTGTCTACCCTGATCATCAATATGCTTGAGCCACTATAAAAACAGAACAGGTGTTATTAAATTTAAATAAAAGCAAGTTTAAGCTACTACTATCAGAGATACTAGATTTAATTTTTATGAATTTTATTCTACTTGCTCAGTAACACTGCAACAAAAATTTTTTTTTTTTTTTTTTTTGAGACAGAGCTTTGCTCTTGTTGCCCAGGCTGGAGTGCAATGGTGCAATCTTGGCTCACCACAACCTCTGCCTCCCGGGTTCAAGCAGTTCAAGCAATTCTTCTGCATCAGCCTCCCGAGTAGCTGGGATTACAGGCAAGTGCCACCACACCCAGCTAGTTTTGCATTTTTAGTAGAGTCAGAGTTTCTCCATGTTGGTCAGGCTGGTCTCGAAATCCTGACCTGAGATGATTCGCCTGCCTTGGTCTCTCAAAGTGCTGGGATTACAGGCGTGAGCCACCGCGCCTGGCATGCGACAAAAATTTCTAACTAATTATACTAATAGACTTGCATTTTAAGTTTGGTAAGAATAAATATACTCATTATTAAACATGACTTTATTTGCCCTCTCTATCCTCCAATGTCTGGCTAGTTGTTCAAGCACCACTTAACAACAAGCAACATACGACATAAAGATACACAGATGTACGAATGCACTGGTACACAGGTACACTCCCATCTGAAAACAGGTTTGAGAAACTGACAAAAGGGAAACACTGTTCAATTAAATGTACAACTAAACCATTTAAAGCCCCATTTCATGCAAACCTTTAGGAATTACTTCCTATGGCCAAACACAATAAAATTTAAATAACAGCAACAACAAAACATCATGCAATAAAACACAGGGAATATGAGGGGAAAAAAGTATTGCTAATACAAACATATGAACTTGAGTATGAAATAAATGAAAAAACTGCTTCCATATGTTCCAATGTCAAATAATTGAGGCAGGAAAGAGGGATAAAAGCCAAGCCCCATTTATTCCCAAGCACATCTTCTCTGAACATGTACTACCAACCAGTTGCTTTCTCAAATGATACCAGATGCAATACACACACAAAATGTCAACATTCATTTCCAAACTAATCATAAAATACTAGATTGATGGTTTTTGTTTTACATAAATTTGATTGTAATAGGAAAAGGAGAATAGGCAGTAAGGCGATGTACGATAATGGCACAGAGAGAAAACCATTTCCAAAAAACTATTCCCCCAGAAAAATATAAAGAAATATGCCTATTGAAGAAATCTAAACAAATGACATTCAACAGGTGTACTCTTAAAAGGTCTTTCATGGGTATCAAGAGCATAAAAATCACTATCATCCTTAGCAGTTTAAAACCATTAATCAGTAGTTAGACTGAGTTTTCATATTGTCAATTGGCATGATTATAAAGTTACAATGAAGACTATTTTCATGTTTTTTAAAATACTACTAAACCTTCAGTACACAACTATTTTATGAGAGAATTCTGCCAAAAAACACTAGATGAGAAAAAAAGAATGTACCTTTTCATTAGTATAGTCACTGGTATATAAGGTATGCCCACGTTCATCCAACTCTTCTGACCAACCCCTTGGAGGAGAACCACACTGACTATCTGACTGGTTGTAAGAAGTGCTGTAGTAGTTTTCTTCGGATGAAAGAAGCTACAAATAGTCAGAAACATAAGGATTTTTCTTCTTTGAATATAAATATGAATCGGCTGAAAATCTAATAAATCAATTTTACTTGAGTATAAGTACTAAGATAATTTAAATATATTTGAATATTTGATTTTGAAAGTAAATTGATAAGTCTTTAAATGGTACATTGTAAGAGGTGAGGTAAAATTAACAGTGGTTATTTTATCACATTAGTGCAACCCTAGAAAAATTCATCACAATAAAACTAAAAACAGTGTTTTCAGACTAAGGAGCGCTCGAATGTTATTTAATGTTGTTTTTGGCTGAAATCAAGTTTAAAAATGAAAGGAGTAGGTGTGTGTACACATATGTATGTGTAAACAAGGGAGGAGATGAGGGAACTGCATTAGACTGAGCTCCCCCTCATGTACCACAAGCACATAGCCACATGCAAGGTAAACAACATTGCTAAATAAAGATATCTCGGACTATTTTTCTATAATTTGTGTTATAATTTAGTGGTAAATTTTCCTAACTCATTCAATCAAATGCCTATTAAAGACTACTGGAAACTAAACTTCAAAACAAGAAAAAATAACATTGAGCAAATTCAAACACAATACAGAGAGACAAATAAAAAATTCTGTATGAAAATAGTATAGGGGCCAGGAGCGGTAATTCACGTCTGCAATCCTAGCACTATGGGAGGCCAAGGCCAGAGGATCATTTGAGTACAGGAGCTCAAAACTGGCCTGGGCAACATAGTGAGACCTCATCTCCATTTTTTATTCAAAAGGAGGAGGAGGAGGAGGAGGAGGAGAAAGAGGAGGATGGGGAGGGGGAGGGGGAAAGGGATGGGAAGG